CCCTGGGACGGCACGTGGGCATACGTGAGCTGTGGCCAAAAGGTGCGATTTTTGTTGGTGGCTGGCATTGGGGCAAGTAAAGATCATTTGGATCCGAACAAGCATTGCTTGCCACTCTTCGGAGGAAAGAGGTGCTGGATGAGTTGGTGAGGACCTGTCTAATCCTTCGCCTATAGTTTTTTTTTTTTTCTCGCCGGTCAACGTAGTGCTTCGAACAGAAAGATCCATCACAGATCGAAGGGAATCATTGGTTTTGGAAGCCCCCGTGGCATGTGAACCTCGTCTACCTTTTTTTGGCGTGCTGCCTGAACATGCTCTTTGGGCTTTGGGTTGTTTTCCCTATCGGAGCAGCCCAGAACTGGTGCAAATGGTGGAGACCCAAAGCCTCCGGGCCTTCTACCTCATCATGCTTGCACTTCCCTTGACTGGCATGGCCAGCGAGTACTACCTGAAGTGGGCCTCTTCAGAGAGTCCTGAGACTTGGCGCTGCAAATTGGCGTTTTCTAGGTTAAGAATAGATGGCACTGCTTTCAGTTTGGTCGAAACCATGTGTTTGTGTCCAAAAAGGGGCACCTAGAGCGGTATCAATTGCAACTGTCTCTTTGTCTTGCGCTGCTCGTACACTCCATCGGGGGCTGCACCAAGCGCAACCAAGGAAGACGACAAGAGGAATGATCAGAATGCGCAAGGGGCCATTGCCCTGCACAAGACACTGGGCAAGTTCTTTGAGTTTGTGTGGCTGCCCTTCCATCTGGGCTACACGACTTTGTACCATGCCTCAAAAGGCAGAGGTGTGGTTCGAAAGGTGAGCCCTTTCATTTGAGGAGGTCCCATGAGTTGGACCCATGGGAAAGGACGACGGTTTCTGGGGCGAGTTCGCCCGTCGATTGCCGGCTGGCCAGTGATGTGGATCACGAAGGCTGCCTCTTCCAGTGGTGCAATCTGTACTCGTTCCAGGTCTCCGGGGCATCGCATTGATGGCACCGCGGCCAAAAGAAACGCCTGGCTCGAGAACTCTTGGTGTTTGAGACGGACCTTTCAGCCCCTAGAACTGTGGGAACATAACAACGCACTCGCCTGCTGTGCCGCTTTAGTTGAGCAGGAAGTGCCTTCGGGTACATACTTATGCACTTATCCCTGAAACCTGGCTAGCACAAAACATCAAGTGCTCTGCAACCAACCGGATTTATTCTTGCGCCAGTGGATCCGAATACAGGGCAACCTATAAATATGAAGCGACTATGGGGCACCTAAATTAAGGCAAGTCGTTTTATTTTGCCTTTGTTTTTTGACTCGGCATACTGCACTTAAGTATCTAGCTTTCAGACAAGTGCAAGCGGTCAGGCTGTGTGTGCGTGTGCGGCTCGAGGGGGTGGCAACCTCTCTTTGTGCGAGTACCGTCACGATCTGGTCAAGGAATGTTCTTTGTTCAACATTGCTTGAAAGTAGCAGCCTGTCAGCAACAGCTTGTAAGCAATCGCAGCATAGCATCTCATCAGAACCTGCAACTGGCAGCCGCCTCCTGCAATATGTAATGCGAAGTTCACAACCGTTCTTCAATTAAAGCAACTCGCTTCCTGTGCTGATGCCGCATCTTTGCCGGTTTTAAACTGCCGAACATGTTGCCGAGGCTGACATGCCCTGGCACGCGCGCACGCACGCATCCCCCCCACACAGACACACAGACACACACCTGAGGCCTGACTTGCACTAACCCCGGGCCTTGCACATCTCGCGGCTGGGGCCCTGGGCCCTTGGATGCCGATGGTTGAAAGGGGCCATGGAACCAAGCAGATGCCACAGGTTTGCTTGCTGCCAGGTGTCTCGCACTTGAGGAGAGAAGAACATCCCCACTTTGCTCCCACATAGGGAAAGTGTTCACTTGCTTTGAGGACTAGCAGAGTCTTTGGAAAAAGTCATGCTTTTATGAAGCACTCAGGAGAGCAGAGCTGCGGAATGCGTTTGCAGCATGGATGTAACTATGTCAAAGCTTGGATTGTGAGGGGAAGCATGCCACAACGTTTTTTTTGCTTTTGCTTTTGCATTGCAGAGTGAGGGAGTGGCAGCTACAAACACGAGCATGACTGTGAACCTGGTTTGTCGGACACTCCAACACCGCAATGATGTCGACCAGGCCACTTTGCCAAGGAAACCTCTCTGGGGGGCAATCAAGCCCCAAACCCTCGTAGCTGATGACTTGACATGGATGCGGGCATTAGATTTATGGCAGCGTGTGCGATTGTCAACACCAAACACTACACAATAAGACAGAGAGTAGGGGCAGACACACATGGAGGCATTTCGCCAGGATTGCGTTGCTGACGCTAGTCAAGGCCATTCAAATAGGAGACATAGCGCAAGCGTGAAGCTGAAGGCAAAGGGGGAAGGCAACGCCGCAATCATGCATGACGTCGGAATGAGTGTAAACAACAAGCACGGCCTGTGGTGGGCCAGGTAAACAATCAGCGGTTTGCTTGTTGTTCCAGCTCGTGGATGGCGTTTTTTCTTCTTTTTTCTCTACCATGTGCCCATCGATGTACCAAAACCCGCGCGCCACACGCAATTCCAGGCCAAAGCCCCGAATGACGGCTGAATGACGGGGGGCTGAGCACATTATTGCGGGCGCTCGCGGTCTGCTGGAGGACAGCGGCCGTTGAGTTGCACTGTGGCAAGTACGTTGTGACGTCACCGGAGGGTGTCATGAGCACTGAAGATCCGAAACAGAGGCCTTTGACACGTCAGTATTTTGGCCCTTTTGGCCCACTCTGACAAGCTTTGCGCAGCCACCATATAGCCATAAATCGCACATTGTGCCGGATCTAGAACTAGGGCCGCATGGTTTGTGGCTTGCTTGCTGTTTGGCAAGTAAGAGCAACTCCTTCTATATTTTTCTGGCTTTGCTGCTATTCCACTTCACGACCTTTGCGCAGGATGCCGCCGTCCCTTGCTCGTTTGATCTGGCGGCTTGTCGGAAACAGGATCGGTTCTGCTGCCCGATCTTGCAGGCCATGACATGGTTGACTTTGAAGATTTGGAAAAGGTGGCCTGGTTCAATTGTTGACTGCAGTCAAGCAATGTTGAAAGGCGCAAGCTGGATCTTGTCATGTACCCTCCCCCACCCGAAACAATGGAAACTAAACGGAGCACAGTTATATGACCAAAGCAGCCACGACGCAGTACTGCAGTCAGTTGCTTGTGTGCTTCTTTCCAATTTTCTGGCAGAAAGACTTCCGATGGCAATATTTTGTCAGGCGGGCAAAGGTTGAGACAGTTTAGCATTCTGAGCCAGCCTGCTGGGCCTACGCGAAGCTCAAGCTAGGAATGTTGATTTGCCAACCCAGCGCTGAGCATGCCATGGAACATGCCATCGGGATGTGGGCGAGAAATGCATCATTTACCAATGAAACAACGACTGCAGTTCGTGAGGGGTCGTCCCCATGCTACGTCTTGGGGGGCCTCCCCTGCACAAAGATGTAGCATTGGGACGTGACCCCAGGCCATTGACAATAGGAAGAGGGCCGCGTTGCATGCCACGTGGCCTTGGGCGAGCGCTCTTTCTCGCAGCTGGCGTTCCACTGGCTCTCAGGCCGCGTTTGAGCATCGGAGGTTAGAATCTGAAGATCCCAGCGCTCCATGCAACGTTCCGGGTTCTGAGAGTGACGCAAGTACAAAAAAGGAAAAACGAGGCGCAGAGGCGCCCGATCCACCCCCCCAAAGGAGGAAAAGGAGGGTCAGCGCAGCTGCTGCGGCATGCTGTGAGCTGTTTGGCAACATTTACCGCAGACGAAAATGAGTCAAGTATTTCGGGTGCTATGATGGCAGTGACAGCAGACATGCGTGGGCCTTGCCAGGCCGAGGCCCCTCATGGGGAAGAAGCCGCGGGCCCTGGCTTTGGTATATGGCCGTGGGTCAACACCAATGGGATCCCATTTTGGGGTAGGTGAATTCACCACCCATGTTAGTCTATTTTAGTGGGGGTTGGGATGTTCACCGGGGGCACGGGGTTTTGACCCATAGCCGTATGTTGGTATCTTTCAGGCAGCGATGAGTCATGGCGCCCGGGCTCTCAGGTCGAAGACCGAGGCCGCAGCCAAGCGCCAGGCACAACGGAAGCTCTGGCTATCGGTGTAGGGGAGTGGGTCGTTGGAGCTTGCATGTGTTTTCTTTGCTCAGCGATTTTTTTCATGTTGGGTGTTGCTGGCGTAGGCAATCTCACATAATTATATAGTTCGGGGCAGAAAAGTGTCATGGCTTCGTAGATAGGGTGGTGCAACTCGCTGCTTCGCGAGGTCACTTTGGAAGACTTTGCCGGTGCAGCGCAGCCACTGCCTTGTTATTGGGCGCGCGCTGAGGGAGAGAGGCCACTTGTGCTGGACGCTGATCATTGCTAATGGAGGCATATGATTCATAAACTCACCTCAAGGTCGACAAGGTGAGACTTAGGGTCCCCCCAAACCCCTCTGGTTAGTCCTCTCCGGTCCATTTCTGTGTGGACAATGATGTAAACAGAATTGCGTTGTTGCCTTTGGCTAGCCGCGCTGTTTTTAATTCCTGGAATGGCAGCCGTTGAGACTATGAAAGGAGTTCGTATTGGCAAAAGTATTGGCAATAACTGGGCTAGTTGGAAATTACGGTTGTTTTTGTTTGGATCTCGGGCCGGACAGGGACGTCTTCAATCAGAGGGGGCTCTGGCTGGTGGCAAAAAAGGCCACACCTTGCGGGTGCCTTTAACGAACTATTGTCTGGCAGCCGGCTGGAAAAAATGGGAGTCTTACTCAGAGGCGGTGTGTTAATCATGTGCCGACACAAGCAGCGTTTATGGGAGCATGCATCCTGCTCCAAATTATGACCTCATGAAGGGCCGAGCGCGGCTCTCAGGAAGCAACTGTCGCAGAAACAGCGGCTGATCCGCGCCTTTGACGTGGGTGGCACCGGTGTGAAGACGGCCGGGCGTCGATTTTTGAGTGTGGGGTGTGGGGTGTGGGGTACGAGGCAGCCCCCCATATCCAAGAAGGGTTCACTTGCCAGCGGGGTTGGCAACCTCTTGGCTAGTTCGGTATAGTTCTGTCGCGTAAGCCTCAATGATTGTGATTCAGCCCCATTGAATGATTGTGCGGTTTATTGACAACACGCTTAGTGAGTTGGTCCCGCTTTTGGGCCTGCACTACCTGCACTGGGGCAAAGCTGCAGGGCCTCTTCTCCGCCCCCAGCTTGCAGAGCCTCCTGGAGAAGTCGCTGGCAGGCGGCAGCGGACCACCTTGAGCTCGTGCGTGGATTTGGTTGCCATTGCGTGGGTTTGCTGCAGGTGATGCTGGGGAGGACTGGCGGCTTTGCTGCGGGCCGGTCGCCTGCTCTGTTGACTCCATGGTCTGCGGCTTGCCTGTGCTTCGCTGGCAACGAGGGTCCAATTCTGGTCATGACTTGCCTGAAATCATTACTCTTCTGATTATTTGTCACTTCCTGCTTGGCACGGCTGACTCTTGATCAGAGCCGCATGTTGATAACGATGAATAAATACACACATATATATATATATATATCAAGAAAGAATGGAGGAACAAACACCATTTGTGAACAAAGCCGACACCGTGCTCATCAACTCTTGAAGTGAGGCCTTCTTGTTACCAGTGCAGGAGCTGGAGTGGATCGAGGCTCCAACCCAACTGGGCCAGGCAGGGATTTTCTGGACCGTGCCTGCGCAAAAAAAAGTGTGCACGCGACGTGCAAGGATTTGGGGTGTTGTCAAAAACATGGACCCTTTCGGGATCTGGCGCCGCCTTGTGCCGCCTTTTAAAGGGGTCTACTTTTGACAAACCTTCATACTGTGGATGGACGAATCCTGCACCACCTAAGAAACCCTGGAAGGATGAGTCCCCTGTGAATACCAACAAACAATGGTTTCCCATGCCCAAGTGGTGCAGGATTCTGTCCATCCACAGTATGTGCAGAGAAGCAACATCTTCATCCTTTACCGGGCCCCGGCACGTGACACGAGGCGCCCGGCGAGGAGGGCTTCGATGCCTGGTTGCTCCAGGCGCTGCCACGCTTGCAGGGTGAGAAGGCCGGCGAGCTCAGCACAGAATCCCCAGGAAGGGCTACATGTGGCCTCGCTGTTCACAACGTTAGGTAGGGGCCTTCTAATTTTTCTGTGGCTTACTGGCTCCACAAAGAGCTGCTTCAAGTGAATTGTCATGCTGTGGATGCATGGGCCTTCTCGTGAGCAATGTGGGCGTTTGCCGCTCAGAGTCTTGGAGTTGGAAGGCCAACAGCAATGTTGTCTTCGGTGTCTCTACTGCTGGCGACATCGAGCATGGCACCGGAATCCTTCATGTGACAGGCTCAGGATCCTTAGGAGAGCTTCAATTCAAGCATGGTGGCTCGGACGTGGCTTCAGGGGTGCCCATTCAAGCATTGCCAAATACTAATCGGGTAGCTTGCTTAACTGATTGGGCATGCTTGTAAGTTCATCTTCCTGCTAACCCCCTCAGTCGCAACAGGCCAAGTTCGCTTGGTCGCCTCCCCGGACCCGCTCTGAGGATTGGTGGTCTGCCGGGGGCCACCCCAGACAGTGGCAGGATGGCCGGCGCAGCCCCCACGTGGCAGATCTCATGGGCTTGCCGCGCCTGGGGCCCAGCACCAAGAGGCACCACTGCTTTGGCTTTTGTTTCGCTGGTTGGGAGGTCATAAAATGTATATATATATATATATATATTTATTTTAATATAAGTTATATGTTATATAATTTATGTATATATCTATATATATACATATAAATGAGGTATACAAGTATATGTATGTTGATGTGTTCAGCCTTCAATGCGCGCGTTTGCTAGCTTATTCCTCCGCATATGAGCGGTTTCACCTTGGCGCATTGGAGAAAAGAGTGAGTCCGAGCCCTCAAGTCCCCGGGCAGAATTGTTAATTTTGTAAAGTGACCCGTTGCTCAATGCGACGCTGTGAGGCTTGTACTTCAAGCGAAAGCATGGCAAATCATCAGGAAGTTTTGCTGGTGTGGACATACCTAGCATATTGGACATGCTTTGGAGGACAGAATTTGGAATTAATTACAATGGAACCCAGTTTTATTTGAACATCAGTTTGTATTGTTGTTTGCTTGACAAGTTTACATTGCAGGCAGCAGTGCGCACAAACGTGGCACCCTGAAGCCAGTCGATCCCTCCGAACCAACACCCTGGGTTGGGTGATATAACCAGAACTATTTACCTAAGGAGTTTTATCATCCAAACTGGATCAGCCTTTATTTTAATGGGGGTTGAACCGCAGGGAACAGCCATTCCCGTCCCAGTTGCACGAGGACTGGTGCAAAACATCCTAGGCAGTCTGACATCAGGCCCCGCAATCTATGCCATGTCTCTAGGTGATAGGACCTTCGTCCTGCACGACGGCGCTGCCCATTTGCTGGGCTGCTGCCGGCAGATCATCCCGCAGCCGCAGCTTGCGTGCTTCTCGGCCCAGGGCCAAGATGAAGCGCCCTGGTGTATTCTCCCAAGAGTGCGTCGAAGGTCTTGTTGCAACACCTCAAGCGGCCCTGCAGCGGAAGGCAGCAAGGTCACAACAAGGCCACCCCTAAGAGTGCCGCAGTTTTGGTCGGGTTCTTGCTTGCGGAAATCAGCTCACATGTCCTTCCTCACTTCTTCACTTGAAGCCCAGGGCCTGGGGGTAAAGTGGAGGACCAGCAGATTTGGCTGAGACGAAAAGAGCGACCCTGGTACCTTGAGCTTAGGTTGGTACCGGTGTGGGCTTTGGGATCTCTGACGAGGACTTGCGCAGATTCTGCCAGCGCCTTTGATCAGCGTCAAGTCACTTTTCAGCGGTGGGCTGTTCACCAATCCCTCCCCGACTCTTAGCAGTGTTTCGACCACAATGCGAGTGGCAGCGTCCACCCTTTCCACAAGATTCTACAAGGAGTGGACGAACAAAACCATTGGAAACCTGTTCCGCTGGAGGGTTGCCATGCTAGCGGCTGCAACCAGGAGGGGGCAATCTTGGATCCCTTCACCTCCACAGGCACCTCCGCTGGCTCGTACGGCTGAAATGTTTTTGCGAAAGCAACTACAATTCCAAGGTCTTGTTGTCTCTCACCTTCCCCGGGGATACCTCACATCGTAAGATTTTCGGATTCCATGGGATTACCCAAAATACAAATGCTTTTCCAGGTGCCCTCATCCGGCTTGTGTGGATTCTTCTTGCGGATCATGGGAAACCTAACCAGACCTGCCAGGGGCGCGCAGCCACCACCTCAGCGGCGCGCCGGTCTCCGGGGCCAGGAGCCAGCAACTGCCGTTCTTCGCTTTTGCCGGGCGAAACGGGGCCCTGTCCAAGCGAACCTGGGCCATCCATTGGTTCAAGCATGGACCGAATGATTTGGGAATCCGATCCATTCAAAAGGCTGCAAGTGTCCTGGAATATGTGTCTCCGCCAGCTTGCAAGCTTGAGCCTGCGGCTAGTTTTAGTAGCACACTTCTTTGGCCAAGTAAGTCAAGCATGGCAGGAATGAGCAGTATTGGACGCAAATGCCGAGTCACAAACTTGACTCATCTCACTTGTATGAGAGCAGCTTGCTTGCGCAGTTACCGCGGCGTGTGGCGCAACTGGGTGACGGACACGGACCACGTGGAAGCCGTGGAGAAGGCAACGTGATGCTGACAAAGGAGCTTCGGGGGTCTAAGGGGAAGGATTGCTGGCTCAGCGCGAGTCAGAGGTGTATGAATATATGAGGTGTGTTGTCATGGGTCTATGCGAGGGTAGCTCAGAACTCTTGACTGTGATCAATGTTAAACAGAATAACGTTGATCTCGGCAAGGCTTGGGTCCCTTTGCAAGCCTGCATTGTTTCATCCATAAAGTTTAGTCAGCCAATGCCCTCCTTTACAGTACGGGAAGCAAGTTTCTTTCCCGGGGACACTACCGCTTCCAACCTCGCCCGCTGGCTGAGATGTTGAAATACGCGTGAAGACGATATGTATTCAGGTCATGTCCAAAGAGTTCGCTGGCATGGCGCGCCCCTGGAACATGTCTTGGGCCGCAGCCCCGGCGCTGTGCGTGCCCCGCCTTCACACATTGAGAGGTTTCCGTTGCGACTGCTGCGTTTTGGGAGACAGGCGACATGGCAATGCGGCATGAAACCGGATTCGACGTGAGGGGACAATTGTGGGATTCGATGAAGTCAGTCCCGTTCTGTTTGAGTCAAGCTGCTTTGAGTCAAAGCTCAGGTGAGTTTGGTCCTCGGGCGGAGGGGCATGGAGCTGGCAGAAGCTGCCTATGGCGTAGCCGGCATTGTTGGTCTTTGTGGCTCTGTCGTTGGATATGGTCGCATGGTTGCGCGTTGACGGTTTTGGGGCTCCATGTGGTTTCAAGTCACCTGCATTTGATTTCACATTGGAAGGCATGCAGCGGCAGTGAATCCTGCCTTGGAAGAGTTAACCAGATCGATCCCCATGCCAGGCTGTCCACCTCCAGAGCGAGATGAGGATGAAGGATGGGTTGCATCCGCGGCCTTGATGCCAAGCGCGCAGTGGGTCAGAAGAGTTTCGCCTGAATGTCCATGCCATGTCCATGTGTGTGTGTGTGTGTGTGTGTGTGTGTGTGTGTGTGTGTGTGTGTGTGTGTGTGTGTGTGTGTGTGTGTGTGTGTGTGTGTGTGTGTGTGTGTGTGTGTGTGTGTGTGTGTGTGTGTGTGTGTGTGTGTGTGTGTGTGTGTGTGTGTGTGTGTGTGTGTGTGTGTGTGTGTGTGTGTGTGTGTGTGTGTGTGTGTGTGTGTGTGTGTGTGCGTTTTTAATAATAAAAAAATATATGTTCAAATTGCACCACGACCAGCTGTTTCGGCATCAGGCAAGGCGAGGGTGCTCTTTATTTTTGTTGGTTCCCTGGCTGCGTGTCAAGCTGGGCTAGTTGCAGGGAGTGTCATGTTCGTGTGTCTCTTCTCCTGTGCAGGTAGGTTGTCCAATGCAGACGCGCCCGGTGCCTCGAGTCGTGTGAGCTCGTGCGCCTTGGAGCTTGCCACGGTCCCCGAGGCGCAAAGCTGCCACAGGGGCATACGCGCAACAGTGACCAGGCAGCAAAGGCACCCCATGTGGCTGTGGCTCAAAAGCATATACCAAAGTGGCCCCCTTGGCAAATGGAACCAAAGACTAAAACCTGCGTAACCCTAGCTCTGTAAATTTGAGCCACAGCCATGTGTTGAGACCGGAAGACTTGCACAATGCTGCAATGCTGGTTTAACTCCGCTGTTGGGGTTTGAAATTGTGAAGCACCATGCCGGGAGAGCCAGACATCAAGTAGGAGGTGCCGGCCTTGAACACATCAAACTGGCGGGGAAAATCACAATGAGGCCTGAAGAGAGCAAGCTCAGGTGGGCACACTTTCTGCAGACCCAGCGGGACGCTCTGGAGAGCGCAACCTTTCCCGGATTCCAAAGTGCCTTTCCTGATTATGCTTCTTCTCGTTCCATCTTGTCTTTGGCATCAGTCTCAAACGAGGGGAGGCACAAATCATTGCCAAGGGAGATAGGGGCTGGACTCCCTTGAAGGGCGTTGCATGCGCCATGATCTTCAATTTCATGAGAGCTTCACACCGAGGTTCGTGCCTCAGTTCTGCAGCGCCTCGCGCAGATACAAGGCCATCGCCGGCCGTTGCTGGCCTCAACACAAGAGGCTGAGCCCTCAAGAATGGTTTGCAAGTTTGGAGGGCGCAACCTTGATGCCGGGAAAGTCTAGCAAAGGAAAGCCAGGGGTTCAAAGTTTGGGAGTCCAAGCAAGTATCAGACCAATATTCAGCCACCTTGATCCTTCGCCAGGCAGAGCGCATTTGCTTTGCGGGCCTAGTGGCTGAGACGAATTGGGCTGCAATGTCAGAGGCGGGCATCACCATCAGGATCCTACTTTTTGTTTGTGTTGCTTTGGTCAACTTCAGGGAGCACGGAAAAAGAGGCTGACACGCAGGAGACTTGGCTTTGCTTGGGTTGCGGCTTGAGCTAGCGGTGCCCATGTGTTCGCAAGCTCGCCGTGGAGATTCCTGGCAGTCCGTGCGCCTTTCGGGTCACCTCAGCAATGACGCTTCCGCAATAGTGTCGAGGGGGGGGGGTTGCAGAACGTTTTCCCAAAATGATTCCCCCCCGGAATGCAGATCATTATTTGTTTTGTCTCGGAGGGGTGTGGCATGGGTGTGGCATGGGTGTGGCATGAGATGAAGATGCTTAAAGAAACGTGACTTCGTGGCAAGATGCCGGATCGATTGCATGCTCCTGCTTGTTTAGATGTGCTGTATGCGCGCTTTGCAGGCTTTGGTGTGTCCAAGCTCCAATGCGGCCGCCCCAGCCCTGCCTGAACGTCATCCAAGCACCAAGGGCTTAAAAGTCAAACAGAACCAACTAGCCGCGCAACCATGAAGGGCCCAAAACAACTTCAACTTTGTTAGGCAAAGCCGAGAAGGCAAAGCCGAGAAGGCAAAGCCCGAGTGGAATCAAATGCCCCACTTGCTCATACGCTTTTGTATTGACGGGGCGCCCCGCATCGGAATGCCTCAGGAGTTGGTGCTTCCAAGTGCGGCCGCCCGGTTTCGCCCAGAGACGGTCCCTGCCGTTGCTCCGTGCCAGGTGCGCCAGCGGAGGCCGACTCTGGCTACAAGTGAGGACCTCAGTGGCTCAGTGGGCACCCGGTTGTCGCTTACAAACATGGATGAGTCCTCAACCCAAGGCGTGGGCGGTCGAAGAAGGCTGCGGCGCAGAGCTCAAGAGTTGAAGGGCAGCGACAAGCATCCGCAGCCACAACATCATAGTGCAGTGTTTAAGTTTGCTATTGCAAGCAAACTCGCATTGGCAGGGTGGAGCTTTGACTCTTCAAACAACTAATTTGCCAGATTGTTTGGTTCTTTGGAATCTCGACTTAACCCTTTCCGGCAATAACGCAACTCTTTTGATGGGCGCCGTGCCACCAGCCTTTGGCCCAGGCGCCAACCGCGAAGCTATCCGCCCGGGCCAAAGAGGCTGGACTCTTCCGCCAAAAGGCCAGCGACACAATCTTCCGCACCCCTTGCCTTACTTCCGCCGAAAGCTAAAATTTCCATGAATCCCACCCCCCAAGCCCGGGCCACCCGAGGGTCTCAGGTCCTGACGCTGGCGCCCCACGGCTCTGGCCTGATCGGCGCCGGGCTCTATGCGCTGGCGGGCCTCGGTGGTGCCTCACTCGGTGGGCGCGCTTGGGCTCGGCTGGGCGTAGCCGGGTGGCAGGGTGGGATCACTCGGTTTCTCCAAGCACTTCTGCGATAGGGAATGTTAGCCCTCATGGGATTTGTCTTTGGAAAGCCCTTGTTGTATCACAGAAGTGGTCATTTCCCAGGCCTACTGGGTGGGCTGATGTCTTGTGAGGTTGGTCTGTAGCTTGCTCGCACTCGCCAACGCACGATCTTTTGCATGGAGGGCTCGCACAAGCGCTCAAAGTGACAAGCGCTCACAAGCCAGCGGAAGATCACGTGCGTTGGAAGTGCAATTTTCAGTGTTAGCGTTTTCGACTTGACTACTTTGCTTGCACCAGAGTCCCAGCGCAGAATCAGACAATATAAGTTCAAGGTAGTGGCCCTGACGGTGTTGCAACACTGACACCGATACTTACCATGGACCAACATTGTAACATGTGTTCATTGTGCGTGGATCTTGCATGCGACAACTAGGGTTGGGTGACCTATTTAAACATGCTTAAACCACTGTTGTTTAATGTCTCCCCCTGTTTGTTATATCCCGCCCCCGATAAATGAGCGAACATTCCTGTTTGAGGAGAGCACATGCATCAATAGGGTCCCAGGGGTCCCCTCTTGCTTCCCTAGAGACATGTTTTCCTGTTTTCCCCTTTTGGGTTCCCTTTGAAGGGGGAAGGGGGCTGGTTTTAACGAGTTGTCCAAACATGCAGGGCCAACGTCAGCCATTCTGTGAGCGTGCCCAGGAGCCGAGATGGGCATTTGGGCAAGGTGAAAGAGACGCGTGGGTGTCATCCATGGAGCTTTCCCGGCATGGCAACAAGCCTTCAAATAGCCCACGGGCAAAGCAGGTTTGGAGATGCTTGGAGGGGTTGGGGCTTGGACGCGCCGACTTGCATGCTACCATGCGCAGTGCTTGCAACTTCTCCGCCCGCAGAGAGCTGGAAACCAACATTCATGTACGATGGGCAAATCAGCGCAGCGACCGGATCGAACATTGAACTGAGGTGCACTGGACTGGATCTGTTTAAACATGAAGTAGTGAGCCAGCTTCAAGGCTCAGGCATTCACAAAGGGAACCTATCATTCAGCACGAATGGCCATGGCTGTCTAGCGGTGGAGATGGCGGAGTGGGACGCCCAGCGTGGACTCGAAGGGGGTGTTTGACTTAGGGAATTCGGATGTCGAGATCGAGTCATGCCTTCGAGATCGTACCGAAGCACACGCGGGGCAAACTTGTTTTAGAATGCGCAGTGAAGGGTTTCCTAACGCAAGGCATGCCAACCTCACCAACCGAGGCCAAACTCGCGGCCGGACTCGCTGCTGCTCATTTTCAATGCCCCTTGAAACCAGGGGAATGTGTGACAGTCTGGGCACGTAGGCAACTGACTGACAATCATGACAATAGCAGCAAACCTCATTCGAGATGTAGTATGATATAGCCATATTGCAATGATTGCATGCAACTTGGCGATTGGGTAGAGCGGGTGATGTAGGAAACGCTGGCATGGATGCTCCGACTTTTGGCAGTTCCAGTTGCAGTACCAGTTGGGCCGCATCAGTGTACCCAAGGTGAGCAAGAAGCAGAACTTTGGCCCAGGGCTGAGTCTGACATCACCTGGCGGACTACAGGCCTGTGCGCCTGTTGTTCTGCCTGAGACCTGAGGCACTTTGCTCCGATCGGCGTGTGCCTTTGGGGTTTCCGAGGCGCAGCCGACTCTGCAAGTTAGTCAGAGCGTTGCAATTGCTGAGGGGTGGCATCTTGGCAAGGCTTCTATTGATTGCATGTCCCAATCCGTCAGGTCCTGGTGGTGGGCGCGAAGAAGATCGGGAGCGGATAGTGACACGCAACGAAAGCTGCTTCCTTCTTGCTTCCCGCGCGCGAGGACCTTCGGAAATCAAGGCACTGCAGCACACGTGCGGGTCTTAGAGGCAGCGATCCGCTGGCAGTGCGGACCGTGTAGCGGTGTGCATCTTATTCTACGGTGTGGCTGAATGTCGCGTGAACTCACACGGGCAACTTTCTCTTAGATGTCCATTCAGCATTTCTCGGTTGACCTGTAAGTCTCTAAGTGTTGCAACAGTGTTGCGGTATGTTTGCCGGCCTTGCTTCCAAGGAAACTGTAGTGGTGTTGGGGTTGTGCAAACCGTCTTCGGTTGAGCCGCAAAGACTTCAGCCGTTCAATTGCCCGAGCATGGGTGAAGCAACCTGACCCTCGAAATGCGGTGCTTCCAGGTTTTTTGTTGCAAGTGCAATGCTACGTTGCCAAGCCTACCCGCGACATCAAGGGTGCACAAACTGAAACATCAAATGTTTTCTACAGCCTCACGTAGGTCTGCCTATCTGAAGCGCCGTCTAGTTGCCCAGCACTGATGTGATGCAAAGATCGCGTTGCCACGCTGCCTCAGAGATGCTTCAGAGACAACTTCTGTGATTTTGCAAAACGCTCAGAGTGCCCATGGACAATCTGCTTCACCAGACGTCACTCATTTCTGAATCTTTGCGACCTACAACCAGCAGGTTTGTGTGTTTGAACAATGCTTGTCTGGTTGCTTTACATGTTTGGGATATCTTGCCAATGTTGGGGCCAGAGCGATCACGTTGGGTGCCAAAGGTAGGCCCACGTTGCCACTCGGCACACGCTTGGCCAAGGCCAACATGCGGCACCTTGACACGCTGCAGGCGCTTTGTGGTTTGCCATGCTCGTGACACCTGAATGTTGGCGCAGTTGCGTCCACGTCGCGGCCAGGCTGCGAAGGCGGAGCTGTCTTCCCGAGGCTCCCGCGAACGGATGGACGGTTTCGGTGCACGGAAATCGCTGGCCGAAGACGGGGCCCGCGGAATCTGCTAGTGGTATGTCGTTTGCTTCCAGAAAGGGGGCATGAAACGTCTTTCGGCACAAGCCAATCCCAATTTGCAAGCAGCCGGGCGAAAGCTTTGCTTCCTGTGAAACTCTGATCTATTTTCGCTGGGACTTCCTGAGCTGCTCATTGTTGTTTTGGCTGCGTCAATCGGCTGTGCGGCCGTGTCAGGCGTCCGCATTTGTGGCATCGAAATCGACGAAAGCGCTCGGCCTGCAGGGCGCCTGGTAATTAAACGTGAAGAGGAAACGGGCCAGGGCTCGGGCCGGGCCAGTGATTGGGTTGGGCAAGAAAAGCAAGGCTTTGAGCGCCTGGCTTTGGAAACGGGAGAAAACTCTGAATAGCATGAGCCAGGAGTCACAAGACTAAACATGTTGTGTCGCGTGTTTCCCGTGTAAAGGTTCCCGGCTGGGCTTGCCCGATGCTGGCGCGAGGTGACTGAGCATCCTTTCACGGGATCCACCGCATTCATGCTGGGCAACGAGGGCCGGGGACCTGAGACCAGCTGTGAGCACTATCAAGGACTACACTATGCAACTAGGCTTGCACAGACTTTTGTACCTCACGGGGAAATGCAGATCCGAGGGCGTGTTGAGATTTGTTGAGAGTGTGGCCACTCGCGCACAGGCGAGGGAATGTCCGCAGCACAGCGCGAAGCCTGCGATTTCTTTGTGTACATCCCACAGTTCACAGGCAAAAGTCGGGAGTGGCAGATGGAGCAGCGATTGAAAGCGCCCCTTGTGCTCGAGAGGCAACATAGTTGTGAATTGTTGTTCATGCTGAATAGGCCGCGCTTATTTTGCTTGTACGTGTGTTTTTTCCTGGGAATCGTAATTAGCACACCTGAAGGGGGTCAAAGATTGGTCTTGGGAACTTGTCAGTCCCTTCGGTTAAACGAACAAACTTGCCTTGTAGTGGAAGGTGGGTAGTTAGGCATAGGTGCAGGCGGTGGTTTGGAGGCCTGTGGCCAATGGACACGCAGCCTCCAACCTGGGCAGGTGCCACAGCCTCCCTGAACGTGGCCATTGCTGGATCCATCGTGCGCCTTGGGAGGGGGTCACTTTGGAAGAGACCGCAACGGGACGAGTTGCCGGTGACGGGGTGACGGCTTCTTTCACGGAAGGCTTTTGCACGCCTCTCTTGTCATCTGCCGAGGTGTTGCACCACTTTGCCACCTGGGCTGGTATGCAGGAGCACCCCAGGCGCGGAGCCGCGGAGTCACACTTGTTCTGCCCACAAAGGCCTGTGGCTGCAGATGGGCTCCAGGGTCGGTTTGACAAATATATTTATATATATATATATATCACACAGGGCTTGAGAGAGTGTCGCCACCAGGTTAGGAGAGAAGTTTGTGGTTGAGTTTGTGCCTCAGAGCCGGTCGCCTTATGCCGAAAAGTACAGTATGCATGCTCAAGCTCCTCGCGCATGGCCACAAAGCAAGGGCTTGATCTTGGAGTTGGTACACTGAGGTTCCGACTAAATCGACATGATGTCGGGTTGATGCGTGGAATTCGATTTGTTATTTGGCCCTTTGTGGCAATGTGAGACAAGAGGTCTTTTGTTGAGATTTGCTGCCGCTTTAGTTCGGCCAAAGGTTTGCGTGATGCCTGTAGTCTCTTCTTATTCACGGTGCTTGCTCCGTAGCATCAACCGCACTGCTTCATTGCGGCTTTCTTCTCACTCAGTGCTGCTCAATTGGCACTGAGTCCCGCTAGAAGCTCGCTGGACAAGTTCCAGAATCCGACGGAGGCAGGGTGGGAGGGACTTGCTCAAGGATCAGTTGGCCACCGGGCTTCCTGTTTGTCAGAGCACAGGCAGAAAGGGAAGAGATGGAGCGCAAGCGTACGGAGCGGCGGAAACGCAAGGAGTGTGAAGAGGACAGGAAAGCATGGATCGGAGAGCTCCCAACAATAATCCACTCCACGAACGCCTCCAACGGCACAGACAGGACTCAGACATCACCCAGGGTTAGTTGTAGACGTATAGCTTGAGCTGTGCACCATTCAACTGAATTCTGCCGATGTTGGATCTGCTGCAAGGATCTTGCTGCTGACGACGATGGCTGAGTGCCGAAAAGTGCTGTGTTGGCAACACACGTTGCTTGACCTTTGCTGGTTCAAGAAGCGGCGAAACTGGCCATTTCAGTCACTTCAGCATGTAGTGGACGTAGCTCGGGCTCGAGCAAGCTCTGCCGTTCGTGCGAAATCGATCTACATGTAGATTCCTTCATGCATGGGTCGGATTGTCCGAAGCCCATCGAGAAGGAAGGCCTGGCTTCTTCTTTACCTCATCCTTTGGTCGGACTATGGGGTGTCTGCAATCAGAGATGCGTACAACGACCTTGACAACGAGTTGACGGATGCACCTCGGATGTGGCGTTGCATCCACTTGATTCGAAGTCCAAAGGGGATGCTTCGTGAGAGGGTGAAGCCATGTTCTGAGCAGTTCCGGCCTATTCCCAGCCCAAATGCAGGGCGCCCTAATTTGAAAGTGTAACAAAGGCGCCTCCTCTGACCAGTGTGCAGCCAGGATTTTTGACTGGAGCAAGCAAGACCACAAACTGAAGACAGAGCAACACACACCAACTCCAAAGATGCCAATGGGGTTCCAGGATTCAGCTCCGAGCCGCTTGCACCAAGGAAGCCTCAGATCAGCTGGAGGGCGAGGCCTCCCAGGACCGGGAAGTGCGTAGGAGCTACCCTATCAACGAGAACTGATCTACTGAATCATCAAAAATGCCGTGTTGCTTAGTTGCAACACGTTGGTTGACTTGTTGTTTTTTGGTTGGATGAGCCAGGGGAAAGAGTAGAAAGCTTAGCTTTCCGGCGACTTTGCAGTATGGGGCTCAGATCCTCACTTCGAATCGATGCTCAGAACGCTTTTTCCCTTCAGGCCCCCCATCCATTCGAACATTTAGCGATGGAGAAGTCCTTGCGCCGTGGGTCAAAACCAATGGTACCATTTTGGGGTAGCTGCACCGCCCATTTTAGTATATTTTAGTGGGCATTGGGATGTTCACTGGGGGTACGGGCTTTTGACTCATGGCCAAATGGCAGTGTCCGCATTGGCGACCTGCGCGTAGGACCTGGCCCCCGAAGGCGCTTCAGTGCTGCAGACGGTGTTTCGCCAAGCGTCCCGGCTCTTAAGGCTGCCAGGGAAAGGCGTACGCAGGCTGTCCTGCTCTAAGTGCGCCGGGGCTGTTGTAGCTTCTCTTTCTTGGTGGTGGGCAGTTTGAGCACTTGGGGCAGAGACGGAAGTTGTCCAGCGATTGCACGAACACAACGCAGGGCATTCTGCTTCAAATTAGGTCTGGACTACAGGTTGGGGCCTGGGCGTTGTTGTCACATGGTTTACCTCAAAAACTTCCACTCAGGTGTTTCCCAAAGCCTTGCTCAGGAAGCGCAGTCGGGTTCGGTGACCTCCTCACAGCTGGCGGCCCGGGCGCAGCTGCAGGCGGCCACGGCGCGCCTGCAGAGCAGTACCAAGGCGCGAAGCCGTCCGGCAGTCGGCTTCGCGCTTCGCGGCTCCCGTCGGCTTCAAGGAGTCCCCTTGCTGGTGCGATGGGGGAATAATCTCTTCCCCCTATGAATAAATACGCCCCCCCCCCCTATTACAAATAAATCCTCCCAAAAATAGTTTTTTTTTTTTTTAATTGGGGTTTTCGGGGTTGGGTTTTTTTGCTTTTCCAACAATGTGAGGGTTCGCATAGGATTTGGAGGAAATGGATTGAATTGTAAGGTCCGCGAGTAAGCGGTTTAATAAGGAAATTTCATGTATCATTCTATTTGTTTTTCAGTTTACTGGTTGTTTGTTGGCAGCCAGGCAGGTTAGCCAGCATGTATGGGGGAGAGACAGTCGCAGCTTAAAAGTGGGGCTGGAAGCTGGTTAAAAGTGCCCCCTAATAAGGATTCCAAGACTTTAGTATTGGTTTAGTATTGGCGCAATTAAAAATCAATTGTGCGGAGTGGAAATCTGGTCTCGGGCCCCGGATTTGCATTTATTATTACTGGGGGTCATTCATTAATTGGGGGAGGAGATTAAATGGAACTCCTATAAAGAAACCCTGGTGGTTTCCTTTAAGAGGACTTTTAAGGCCCTAGGTTCATTCCCACCGCCCCAACACCCTGGGTCATTCCCTGGGCATCTGCAAGTGTTGGCACAAATTCCTGGAAGGAATGGAAAAGGTGAGCCCATGTAAGCCCGATGATAAATCGGCAACCAGCCGTTCTAATTGCTTCTTTAAGGGGCGCCCAACAATCCCTTTTGCCGTTGGAGAACAGCCCAATTGTTTGGGAGAGAGCTAGATCCACGAGAGTGCGCAGTGCTTGTGCGATGTGTGGGTTTTTGCAGCTGAACTCATGCACGGCCCCACGGGATTCACGGGAACCCCTGAGACCTGCTTGGGTGCGGCCTCGTTTCAGGCGCTCGTGGAGCTTCTGCTTCTTGGCTTTTCCAGTCGGGTTTGAAGCATCCAGCGAAAGAGGCGCAAGACCCTGCAGCCGCCCGCCCGTTTTGCACGCTTGAGCCTCCACATTCCTTGACATTTGCTCGGTGTCAAACCTGAGGCGAGAACTGCGCGAGTTGCTTTGCATGTGCGCGCACGTGGGGCAGGCATGCTTGAGTTGCATACATGCAAAGGAGCTAAAGGCAAGCAGAGGCTCATGATTGGGGTGTAAGTGCGTGAGTGAATTTGGGAATTTCTTCTCGAACCCAGGCAGAGCGATGAAGCCCTGGAATTGGTGGATCTCCTGCAGAGCACAGAGGACAGAAAAGCCTTACAGTCAAGGGCACATTTCCTGATATTGGCCATCGAGTTGAAATGGGGCAAATCGTTCTTTGGGCTTGAGAGCATTCGAAGGCATTGAGAAGGCTTCATGTCCGGCGCAAAATGGGTTAAGTCCCTGAGGCCACTTCACGAGAGTTCAACAACACTCCGAAAGAGAAGCGGTTGAAAGACAAGAACCTTACAGACCACGCACTCAACGTCTCGCGGAAGATGTACGATGTCCTCCAAGAAGTGAGATCCAGTGATACGGCTATGAGGCCACTCAGCTGACGAGTATGCCGAGTAAGCAAGTCGTGTTCCTGTCAGGGCGGTGCTTTCTTAGGCAAAGTCTCGCACGCACGGGCGACCCACTGGTCTACGATGACGGCCAGAACATCAGCAATTCAACGGACCCAGGGCAGCAGGTTGGCGAACTGGCCGAAAGCATTGCCAGGTTGGCAAACAGGATGCTTGGCCGCAGGGAAGGTGACATGTGGCATTGTTTGCAGGTGTCTAAGACCAGCCTCCTCCAAACAAATCCCTTCGCAAAGAGCACGGGGATGCAGGGCGGATGCAAGGGCACTAGTTCAATGCTTGAGATTCTCATCTTGAATCGGGCTGTTTGGTCAAAAATTCGAGGCGTGGGGACAAGAAGCTGCTGCGCAAGACTGAAGACAAGCTCCTCGAACATACCTTTGCGGTGCAGAAGCTGGTGAATGGGGTCCAGGACGCCAAACATTGCCAAGGTACTTTGATACCTTTTGACCCTTTTATTGGAAGGAGGCATGGGGTGTATCAACCCCCTGAAAGTTGTCGGACTTTTTGGATTGCTGGCGAACATTGTGTATTTCTCTTTCAGGAGGCAGGCGAGCTGGGCAGCACAGCTGCAGAGAGTTGTCCCGGCATGCATGACAAGAATGTGGGCGCAATACCTTGTTGAAGGAGCTGCATGTGGCTGTGGCTGGCAAATGCTAGCACGACGGATGCCCAATACCTTCGCGCTCTCAAGCCTGTGGACCTATTTTGGATTTGCACTCTTCCTGGGCATCTAACTTTTTGCACGCGATGGGCAGGGGCGTTTGTGAAACCGATGGAAGCCCCCTTGTTCCCAGCCGAAGTGAGATCACCTGCGAGGGAGTTCGATGTCAGGCAGCGATGCCCGTGAAGTCCTGGACGACACAGAGGACCCCAACGCCACCCTGGTGAGCGATCTTGCGGAGAGCGCAGTGACGACTGCAGACACAGGCCTCGCTGATAGTCCGTTTAGAGGCTTCACATGGCTATGAGTTTCAATGGGGGACCACCTCACAGGTGCTTTGTGGACATGACTCCTACATGATGTCCCCCATTAAAGTTCACCCCCACACGTTGTCAAGCAATTGCGATCGATCCGCTGCTGTCATGAAACGGCTCGTTGTTTTGTGAGTCGGACAGCTGATGATGTAACCTACCTTTGATTCGTTCAGAAGAGGAACAGTGATGACTGGGCTGCTGCTTCCATGCAACGTTCCTTGCTCCTTGTTTTGTGCGTGGGTAAGCTGCTGCAGGAGTCATTCAGTCCTTCATTCAAACGCCCTCCTGGTGGCTTGAGACTACCGTTGAGCTATTGTGCCGAGGGGGGAACGAGTCGGACTCGCCTGAGAACTGGGAGGTGGATGAGTTGGATGTGGAAAAGATGGACGGTTTCACTCGAGCCGCTTCGAAGCAGAATCCCAAAGCATTGCCCGATACCGGATGTGCCTGCTCTTTTTCTGATGGGAAACAAGGGCACCACGGTGCACGTGTTGCTGGGAATGTGGTACTGAATCATGTAGAAGGGTGAGGGATGTACCTCAGGGGAGGTTCCCAAATTCTAGTGTTTGTGCACTCTTGGTGGTACAGGTGGCAAATGTATGTAAACGGGTGCTTGTGCCCCATTCATGTAGCTACAAGTTCTGAAGGTAGGTCAGGAAGGGTTTCGGTTTTCGCGCCTGGCCGGACTAGGCAAAGCTCTGTGACCTCCTGCCCAGCCTAGACTGTGAAGCCTGCGGGGCGAACTCCAGCTCTCTGCAGGAGTACCGGGACTGCGTCTCCGAGGACCGAAGACGGGCCAGATTGGGAATTGGCCGGGTGAATGTCATGGGGGGTGTACAAGTAAAGTAATGACTTCTTTGTCACCTCGTGTAGGTTTAGTTGGACAGTTGGACTGTCGCAGCCCGGAGGCTCCCTTACCCAGGCGATGCCGCGATGCCCTTTTGCTGCTAAACCGACGGGCTCTGCGTTGGGAAGCCAAGGGTTGATTTTGCTGCTAGATATTTGCTGCCTAGAGACGCCTTCCAGGAGGTGATGCGGTACCAGAAGCAGCAGAAGAGAGACAAAATGGAAGCGATGCAGAAGCGTAAGATGGACCAGACCATTGAGAATGAGAAGAGGCTGCTGTGCTGAAGGGCAGGCATGGGTAGGCTCAACCAAGGGTAGTTTCTTGACCTTACTCTGCACTCATCATGAAGAAGGCCGGCAATATTTGTTTTTGCCCTCCTGGTCGGTGGATTGTTCGAGCAGCTTGCACGCCCTTGATTGTTCCGATGGTTCCTCCTGCTCACCACAAACCGCCCATGTTTGCCCCACCAGGCCTGAACCGAGTCAGGTTGGCACTTGCACCCACCAGTGTGTGAGATGTCGGCAAGGACTGGAACCAAAGGCGCACGCGCGTGTAAGTCAAATTATCCTTGGGCAGGCTAGCTTGAGTTTGTCCTTGCGTTAGCAAGGCTTGATTGAGGGGGTCTGGGGGTCGGCCGGCCGCAAAACCAATGAAACATCGCCCCCCCCCTTCGACTCCCCCTGGTCCGCCCTTTGGCCCCTGCCTGATTGGCAGCTTCGCTCCTTTTTCCGGTCTTCTCGCCGCTCTTTTCGCTCGCTTCGCTTCACACTTTGGTCCACACAAGTTCAAGGCCGGTCCTCCCAGTCAAGTCGTGGTGCATTCCGAAGTTGATATCGGACACTTAGGGGAAGCACTATACGGTATCCTATCTTTCGTGTCTCCCCTTCTCAAGTGTGAGTCAAAACACCCCTTTACTTGGGGTTGGATAGTCATGGACCCCACAATGGGGAATTTAGACAACCGTGGTAAGGATTCCTATAAGGAGTTTTCACTGTGGCAAGGACGGAGTGAAGGTCGCCTTCCGCAGGTGTCAGGGCACTTGGGCTCGGCCCAGGCTAAAGAACATGAAGAAGAGCGCCCTGCTGGGCGCCCACGACATGCTGCAGATCTGGGGCGTGGGCCGCAACTGGGCGCGTTGGACCTCGGACCCCGCCTGGCCCTTGGAGACCCTCAAAGGCAGGGCTGATGGACTGCTGGCTGCCGACTCCAGGATTGTTTTGGCTCGGAGGGCCGGCGAACACATGGTCACCCGCAGCAGGCTTGCACAGGAGCCAGACGTGAGCCGCAGAAAACTGTAGAGCGCAGAGCTGTGTTGAATCAATGTGGCTGCTTATACTTGGGTTTTGATGTGAAGGTGTTTTGCTATATGCGTTATTTGTATTCCGTGCATTGATTGGATTCACCACAACCGGAAGCGGAGAATGCCAACGGTGCAACCAAATTAAGGCCTGTGTTGACGGATCAGAAATGAAGAGGGCTGCTTTTGTTTCCAAGGTTTTGGAATGGGGTTGTTTTGCTGAGGGTAACCCTTTGAGGGAACTAGGGCTGGTTGTTTCGTTAGGTCTGGTTTCCTGGCTTGCTGGCTGGCCAGCTGGTTGGTTGGACACACACACAACACACACACACACACACACACACCTCTCCCCGTGATCGTGTGGCCCTAAGGCAGCTTTGCAGACCACATGCCAGTTTTCCTGTGAAGAGTGTTGCTCAGGTTTGTCGTTGAAGGCGTGACACGGATCGGTTTAATTGATGCGCTCCACAAGCTCTAACAAACGCCCGGGGCTGACTTTCCCATTCCTTTCAGAATTGAAAGGTTTTGCTCGCAAATGGCCTTTCCAATGCCGAACGCCGGAAAAATGCGGCCACCCCCGGGGGTTCTGGCGCCAGGCGAGCCGGCGAAGGCGGGCTGGGAGGCCTTCACCACAGACAGCCAGGCCATCGTGGAGGCCCACGCCCAGGAGTTTCAGACCGAGGCGGTGGCCATCGCCAAGGAGTGACATAAAGGGTCGACGCGGAGAAAGGTCTGGGTTCACCGCCCGCGCGCGGGTGGCGTGTTCCGAAGGGACGGCGGGTGGGTGTGCAAGGTCTGGGTTTATCCCAAAGGAGCGGCCAATCCAAGAGGTGTTCGCAGCGGAAGGTTGTCGCGGGAAAGCGGAAGACAGGAATCGCTTTTGGGCAGTCCCATGGCGAAGTTGTCAGACTCCCCACGCCGAAAGGCAGCTTGCTTCGGCCAAGTGATTTGTTGGCCTCCGAGACCTCCAACTAGCGTCCAAAATGCTACGGTACTTCCCAGCGCGGTTTGCGCTTGGTTTCTCTAAATGGGCATCATTTTAAGCACGTGTTGCTTGATGTGTGTGTGTGTGCGCCAACCTGAGATCAAAGGTTTCTCGTCGAAGGGGCAGGGAGCTGCGGTACTTACACTGACCAGCGAAGCTGGGGAACGCAGTGGGATGTGAAGACCGGCCACCTCCGTATTGCTTGATCCATCCAGGGTTCGAGGCGTTTGACCCCATGTGTGACTGCTCCCCTGGGCAGTTGCCTTGGTCCAGTATGCCTTGAAAGGCTCAGGACCTCCATGCCAAGCCTTCGACCTTTGGGAGCTTTTCACCTGTGCAGTCGGCGCCGTGATCACGGTTGAATTGCCAGGTTTGAGCTATGGAGCCGTATCAAATTGCTGGTCCCTCCAGTCACAAATTGACTGGTGTGCTTGTAACTGTGGTCCCGCTGTTGGCACAAACCCTCCTGATTTCAGTGGTCTCCCTTTGCTTGGGCAAAGATGAGGGAGGCTCATCATCAGCAGCTCAGGAGGAAGCCGCCGCCTCCGGTGACACGATATACGCAGCCCACTTGGAGCACCACGTGACAGAGGCTGAGAGCATCAAGGCAATGTGATGGGAGGGGGTGGAATTCAACCGCCAGGACATCTTGAAGGCGTCAAAGAATAATGGCGGCGTCACTAGCGTGAATGATTCTGGAAGTAGTGCGACCCATTGCAGACATGATTGGCAGATTTATGATGTACGAATCCGGACATGGGCCTAGCGGCCTAGCGGTCAGGCTGGGGCTGAAGAATTGGTGGCAGATGGCATGGAGCTAAAGGGCGGCGGCGAGGAGATCCTGACAGAGACCACCGGCTCCATCTCGGAGGCTCAGGCGGGAGCGAGTGGGCCGACAAGGGGTAGCGTAGCATTCCCGTTAGATGAGAGGGAACCACTACTGCCCCGGTCAATCGAGGTATCGTGAATCCAGTATAGCTCAGGGTTCCTTGCCATTCGACCAGCCGCCATGTTCGCCGAACCTTTGTCACACGCAAGCCTGGTGGCCGCCATTTGAGGCCATTCAAGCGGAAAGTGTGCAGCTGCAGTCAGAAATGAAATCCACTTCAGAGGCCTTGGGAGGTGACTCGGCGCTGCCTGCAGTCGCGATAATGTTGGCTGATAAGACGAGGGGTGTTTGCATGATGGGTTTCTTGTGGCTGGACTGTCGTCTCTCAATGGGTTGGTTTCATGTCAGTGCTTGCGTTGATTGTGGTGCAGTGTGACGTTAATGATTGCTCTTCTGAATCTTTGCTGGCCGTGCTGTTGTGTTTGTGCGTCACCTGCGGTTGGCGAGCAAGCTTAGTGCAAACAAATCCACATTTAGTCCGGCAACATAGGTGGGGCATGAAAGCATCCTGATGTGACTTGACCGTCCTTGGCCTCAGTTGAGCTCGACAAGTGCTCGCAGCCCTTTGATCCTGTCAGTGGCTCGTCATGCAACCCAGACGAGGCCGGGAGCAATTGGCAACACGCAAATCCTAGGCTAGGGTAGCAGGCTTGGTAAATGCATTGAAGTCGTCATTGTCAAAGGACCAGACCCCCCCCCCCGGAGCAAATTTACCAACGCTGATTGCAGGTTCCCACCATAAAGAAGCCCAAGAAACACCGTCCATCTGCACATTCCAACGTGCGGTGCCCTGAATTTGTGCGTGCAGGTGGCCAGACTTACGGATGAGATGAATGGCCATCGTGCGCAGACCGAGGAGCTGGCAGAGCGTTCGGAGGCACTCGGGGAGGATCTGGAGATGCAGTCGGAGGAGGCGAAGGACTGGAACTCTGCCAGCTTCAGGTTTTCATGGCCGAGAAATCTAAGTTCCGGCCAACCGAGCTCGCCCGTGCCACCTTGGAATACCTGTTTGTTCAGATGGTGAACAAAACCAAGATCAATTCAAGTTCAAGCAAATGTGTAATTATCGTTGACACATGTGACATGTTGACACATGTGACATGATGCGGTTGTTTGATTCGGCTTGCTGTTGCCTACCCCACTAGTTAGGCAATGTTAGACACTCATCTTCGCAGCGCGTAGCGCCAACCCACTAGGGTCGCAAGGAGCATTACCCTAAAAAGCCGGTGTGTTGCATGCTCAGAATGCAAGCTGGCTGGCCCTTCGTATTTGAATGTTCCGTTGTTCGTTGTCATACGCGCATTCCATGTTGCATGATGTTTTGTGTTTCACTCTGGGCGCCATTTTTTTCTCCACGTCTTGCAATCAACTGCCCAATTCGATCGCTCGAGCCTCCAGAAGCTGGCCCAAGACGCGGAGCAAGTGGCCGTAGATGCCGAGGAGCTCAAGACCCAGGCGACAACTCGCGACAACTCGAGCACTCCTCCCGGTTTTGGTCCGGGAAAGCAATGCTAGGCTAAGCTCTTGCTTTGGGTTCTTTTGGCTCTTACCTTTACCCTAAAGACACCGTGGCAGTCCCATGTGTACTTTGTTTCAGCATTTCGCCAGCCCAAGCGCCCAATATTTGTGTCACAATCATGAGGCTCATGTCTAGGGCTGCGTGAGCAGGAATAGAGGAGGTGGGCTGACCAGATTAGTTTTATGGTTTAATCAAGCTGGCTGGGCACACCAGAAGGGCTGGCTGGAAACTCTGTACGTTCACTATGGTTATGGTGCAAGCACTGCTCATGGGGCTGAGTAGGGAATGCTTCGCAGAAGGAAGTTGCACACTTAACCCCCTCACAATCTGAAGCTGTGACCCTGCAGGTGAGCTGCCAAGCCCTGGGCCATTCTTCTTGACTGGTCCCCCAGTAGTGCCCTTTTACCCTTTTTTGGGGGAGGGTTCCCCTACTAACACAGACTACAGCAAAGAGGGTACCCTTATTCTATCTACTGGACCTAGCAAATTAAAAGCAAGTCAGACCCCCACGTTCCACTGGCCTTCGGGCCAGCTCCGCGGCCCAGGCCATGACGCTGAAGGAGGAGGCCTACAACGAGCTCACCTCCAGCGAGACGCTGAATGCCATCGCCACCGAGGCCAAAGAGTGCGCCCAGCGCATCGCCTCGCGCGTGCTGGACCTCGCGGTGCAGACCGCGGCTCGGGCGTTGGCGTTGGCGTTGGGGGCCCGTGGCCTTGCAGTGGTGTGGGATGCTTTTTCGGGGGCGGGGAGCGGGGGGGGGGGGGGGGAAGGGTTGAACCAGACGATGTTGTGAATCAAAGGCGAAGATAGGCGTAGAGAAGCAAACATCAGCCGCTGTTCTGGGAGGGCAGCCTAGGTGCAATCCATGACAGAGCAGATTCTGATGCTGGTGCCCGACCTGTTCTTTGCCTGCCTGGAGGCCGCGCTGGACATCATCACTGGCTTCGGGTGGATCATTACAGCAGCCCGGCTTAGCTGGAAGCTGGTCAAGTTCGCATGGAAGAAGTGGAAGCAGTACCGGGACAACAGGGAGCAGACACTTGCCTGATTCAGTAAGCTTGGGCAAGTTCTTCTTGAGCAGGCAATTTTCGAAACTCGAACCTAGTTTGCGGGTCCAACGCCTTGACTGGCTTGGGCCATGTATCCGAAGTCAGGAAACTCTGTGGCAAGGCGCCCCAGCTGGACTGCTGCGTGGACAGCGTCATGTCCTGGTACGACAATCAGGTCCCCTAGCCGAGTGGCATTCGGCACTTTACCTTTCTTGCAGGTGCTCAGTAAGGAATGAACCTGGGGATTCCCTTCTCTTACATAAAGGCAACCACCGGGGATGGTTTGTAGGGTTCTATTTCTCATTCCCTGCTGAGCACCAGCAAGTCTTTTTCCAATGTGTTCCAGTTGGTTCCCCACTCCAAATCAATCGTCAGAGGTCCTGGCACAAAGAACTTCGGCAGCCCAGTTCCAGGCTGATACGCAGTCTGTGCTGGCAAAGTCATTCAAGTCCCCGACAGCCTGCACTCCATGGACCACGACACTGTACGCGGGCCGTCCAGACAACGAGACCCTGAAAATACTCGTTGCTCGTGAGATGAGCTCTGTGGGATCTCTCATTTACAAGCGGCCCATCAACATCTACAGCAGGTTCGGCCTGGGCATTTTGCGCTCCAAGACCGCGGTGACCTTGATTGTGGCAAGGTCCAGCCTCCAAGTCGAGTACAACACGAGTCGAAAGAAGCCGCGGGTGCTGCGCTTCAGCACCGGCTGTGAGGACTTCCTTCCTTTCGGCACAGCCCGCGACACCAAAGGACTCCGGGCCATCAAGAACAAGCGGTCGCTGCTTGTCGTCTTTTGGTACGAACCTTTCACCTTTTTCAAAAAACAGTTGTTTGAAAGATGTGTTTGCTTTCTCCCCCACTCACCAGGCAAAGAACAAAAAAATCAGGTTCTTGGTTGGGTCCAAGACCAAGGCCTCTGGGAGTGTGGTTTCGCTTTGGGAAGGGCACCTTCAAGCAACGCACCTTTGAGATGGCCAGCTACAACGAGAGTTTCTGCGAAGTGGCGCACGCCATGTGTCGTGCTGCATGCCACCAGCCCGAGAAGCTCGCTTGCAAGCGAAACCACCAAAATCACCGCGCACGGTGTTTCTCATGTTGGCCCTTTCTGAGTTAAGGCCCCCCCTAAAAAGACAAACGTCTGGCTCTTTTGGGCCAGCGAGGAAGTGTGATGATTACTTGGATCCGGAAGTTGAAGTGGACCTCAAAAGCAAGGCTGCCAAGGCAGGATAAGCACTTGGCTCTTTGAGTCTAGCTTGTGTTTGCGGTTCTGGTATGTTCTGGTGCCTTCTTGTGACATGGCAAAGGCGAAGTGTTCAGTGTGTATCCATGCGGAACCTGCTTTCTGAGATGGGTCCACCTACCGGCCAGCTCTTCACTCACTGCCACTGCTCTGAAGGGGGAAGAACAGTGATCACTGGCACCAATCCCATGAGGAGAATCTTGCCAGTTCAAGACCACAAGGTTCTTTGGCACCCATCAGAGAACATGCTTGGCCCAAGGTTCACCCAAGACCTGTGAACTTTGGTCTGTTTGATTCCTTGGTCCAGACGCCAAAGGCGATTACCTTTGATTTAGCCCGAACGGGTGACCACAACACTCCCATCATAAGAATCTTGCCAGTTCAACACAAGGCCTTTTAGCCCCCATCCAACCACAACAATCCCATGAATCCCATGGCTGGCAGGCCCATGAGGAGAATCTCCTGCCGCTCTGTGTGCCGGTGAGCGGTCTGGCTCGCGCCAACGGGGTCAAAGAGTCCACGGCGAGCCATCCGAAGGAGACGCTGGGCCCCACGGCCATGCGGCCCTTCGTCTGGCAACATCTCTTTAAGGAGGGCCAGGAGGACCGTTTTTTTGGGGGTTCCATGTAAGCCATGCCTGCTTTTTTGTGCGCGAGAAAGAGATGGGTTGAAAAGAAGGGCATGCTTTGGATTGACAATCCAATGTCTTTGAAAGGTGTTTGGTCTGTGTGTGTGCACGTTTCCTCATGCAATTGGCTTCCGGATTCTGAGGCTCTCTTAAAGCGCACCCATTGGGCTGAAATTGTGCTGGGAGGGAAACCGTCAATCAATTGTTCTTGTTTGGATTACTTCGAATTCGTCATGGTGTTTCCAATGTTGGTTTAACTTCGTGACATTTCATGAGGGATTTTTCTTGTTGCCCCTGAAGGAAGCGATGCCAAGGACCGAAGCCTATGCATATTCAGCGGCTCTATGCGACAAGCATGTCCTGCCATTCTGGACCTGTGGCGTGGAAGAGTGCTCTCTTTGCCAAGGCGTTGCATCCATGTACTCATCATCGCAGAGTTCGGCCAAGTGGTGCTCTGCTTTCAAACTCGAAACCATTGACAACACCACGGACTCATACGCCCGAGATCTTGGAAGGTTCTACAAGTGCAACTACCTGACCAATTATTTGTCAAGCACAGAGGACAAGCATCGCTTGGAGAACCGAGAGGCGACAACTGAAGAGGCGTGCACTTCACGCACCTTTTGCTCAGACACGGTCAACAAATTGCCCAAGCTGGATACTTGCTTTACTTGCCTCCTCAATTGCAAAATTGTTGTTTTCCGGGTGTGGCTGTGCAAGCCGGCGTTGGTGGCGCAATGCTGGAGAAAGTTAGTGTCGGACACCCGTCCTTTGGGAAAAGACTACTTTGTTCCATTGGCCATGCGATTCTCCTAGGATTCCGGCTGTCATTTTGAGTCAGGGTAAGGGCGGCCCGAACTTGCAAGACATCACACGAATCACGCTGGGCAATAATTAAAAGGGGGCCCTGATGTGAGCCACAAAGGCACGAACAGGAGGTGCAACCAGAAGTTGAGCTGAGTGTCTCAAGGCCACGCCATTCGACGAGGCAAACGGGCAAAATTCAGGCGTCGCATTTTGGGCCGCCTCGAGGAAGAGGGGGGGTTCAGTGCGCGGGCCTCAGGACATGCGACCGGGCCTGCAGAAGGAGTCGGACCAATTCAAGGACTCCCAGTGCCGGCTGTGCCTCGAGTTCGTGCAGCGTGCCGCTGCTGGCCTGCGACCCAAGGGCTTCTGCAAGGCCATACCCAAAATGCACCTCGGAGGCCAGCGACCTGCCGCGGGTTGCTTCTATCATTTGATCAACGTGTAACCGGCTGGCTGGCTGGCTGGCTGGCTGGCTGGCTGGCTGGCTGGCTGGCTGAACAGCGGATTGGTCAGTTAGTTCGCTAATTGGTCAGTTAGTTCCCCAAGTAGGGCAAACGTGGCGGAGCTTAGGTATGGACAACAGAAGATCTTTTGTGAAGGCACCTTGAACGACATGATGGAGGCCTACCCCGGCATCAAGCTAGCCCAGAACCGCTCCATCATAAGCGGCTGGTTGGGATCCTGGTCCAGCAACATCAGCGGGAACACCTGCAATGAATACTGCCAGGCGTGGATGTCTAGCCTTCAATCTCGCCAGGTTGAACCCCCCCCCATGGCAGCATCATTGCTCGCATGTGTCTCCAATTTGGGGTTCCCTAATTACCCTTGAGGAATCCGCTTTTTGCGTAGAGATATCTATATATGGGTTTGTCCTTTTTTGGTGTGTTGAGTTGCTTCAAAAGGCAGAAGGTGGGACCTCCCCGAATCATACCCCCGAATCATACCCCGAATCATACCCCCGAATCATACCCCTTAAAACGTATTCTGCAAGATGCTACTGTTCTTCTACCGTTTTGTGTTGTTCACTGTGTCCACAACAACCACCACCAGCGCTACCCAATACTACCACTGCCACTACTACTACTACTACTACTACTACTACTACTACTACTACTACTACTACTACTACTACTACTACCACTATATTATATATATATATATATGTATAGACTATTATATAGATATAGATATACGGGGGCCGTCCGTAATTGCATGTCTAAAACTTATGAACAGCAGCAACTTGTTGAACCGCGCGATTGGGAAAACTTGAGCCGCGAAAGGCCGGCGATTGGACCGCGAAAGGGCAACGCAATTATTGTGAATTCAGACGCTGAATGGTGTTTAGATTGTGGTGCCGACACACGTCTCGTTCATTTTGACTGCACGGGCTCGCACAAAAGTGCCTCCTGGAAAGCTGAATGTTAATTTTGCCTGCCCAGGCCCAGGCTGTGCTTTCTAAATCTGCTTACTGGCAAAGGCTGGAAGCTGCAAGCCGAAGTTTCGCCGACGAATTCCGCGATTGGACCGCGGTTGGACGGCGATTGGAGCGATTGGACGAGTTTCACCAGCGAAGCCCTGCCCATCCGAGCTACGTCACTTCCTTCCAGTTTCCAGGTATGGCTGGAGGAAGGCCAGCCCTTAAAATAAGACGGCGAAAACAGAAACAGAAACGCGATTGGAATCTGGCCGGCGATTGGGGGGGGGTCCCCATGCAAAGTAGTTTTGCACAACACCCATATATATATATACATTTATATACATAGAGATATATAATTATACACATCACGGCTCTTGGCTTGGAGCCTTGAAGGGCACCCCGGTGGCTTGTGGCACGCCAGGGCTGGGTGAGGCGCAACCCCGCGGCCCGCGAAACCCTGAAGAACCCCTCGCCCTTGCTGCTGGCGGGGGAGGACAGCGAGCCGGCGCCCCCGGGAAAAGTGGCAGCCCAGCTGTGATAACGTTGCACTTGGGGCCCTTGTTCGCAGAACCCCGGCTGTGTTCAATGTTACGATGAAGTAGTTGTTCTCGAGGTGTGGTGGCTGTGTTGCCTCAAGCTCACTTATTTTGCGTTGCTCAACTGTTGCATTTGGTTTGTTCAATGTTTGCAAACAATGTGTCCAGAAAGCCGTGAATTGCCGGCCATCGCTCTTCAGGCAGAGAACTGGCAGGAGACAGCTCCCAGCATCACCAAGAGTCCCTGGATCGAGAAGGCGATGAAGAGTGTGAGCACCAGACTGCCAGTGCAAGTGGTGTCCGGCCCCAACGTGGTCTTGTGGAAGATCCAGGACCGGTCTACACAATGTCCCCAGCCTGAGCTGTGTGCTCCTTGAGTGTCCATGCCACACTTGATCCTGCAATACAGCAACCAATGCGACCATTTCCTGGGGTCACTATTTCGCTGGTTTCTGGTGGTTCTCAAAGTCACAAAATGGGGGGTGTTTCCCTAGTCACCCACCACTTGCGGGGTGACTTTGATCATGGTAAGATTGTCTTAGTTGCCCAAAGCCGACCTTTTTAGTCATGGCCTCAAAAGGTCAACCTTTTGTTTCCAGGTCCTTTTGGCAAGTGAGTAGTGAGGCCAGAAATTTCCCGGTCCAACAATTTCCGGGGGGTTGCTTTCTCGCGCGCGCAGGAGAAGGTTCAGAAGGCGGTGACCAGCTGGGAGGCGCTGCTGAAAGAGTTGGCCTGGGACGGGACCTTCACCCAGAAGCGCGTGTGGCCCAGGACGGGCACACCAGGCGGGGAAATTGGGCAAAAAGTCGACTGGGGAGGGTGACCTTTGGAATTCTTTGGAATTTCATTTGTAGATCTTTTGGTTCATTTTGCTACGTAGGCTGTTCAAGGGCAATCCTCAACCCTTCCCTTGGGTGATGTCGGATTAGGATTGGCCATCCTTCCATTTTGAACAGCCCAGCTTTGGGAAGTAGCTAAAAAATGAGATTGGGGAACCCCTGTCAAATGTGTGCAGAGGAAAGCGAGATGAATCACAGCGGTGATTTGGAAATTCGGACAAACGTTGCAGCCGATGCAACGCTGCCTTTGGACCTATAAACGCTCAGAAAGTCAGCCCCACATGTTGTAGAAGCATGTGTCGGAGTTGTCCAGGGTCCGTTCACTTTTAGTGATGAGTGTGATGCATGTTTGCATGTTGCAGGGGCAGGGCGGAGAAAACAACGCCAAAGCAGCTGCTGATACAAGATGATTGGAACCAGAACCCATATTCGATAGTGCTCGGCATTGTTCCAGTTCCGATTTTGCAAGTTGGACTGTCCCCTTACAGCAAGTAGATCCTTCGTTCCCCTTGTCCATTCCGCTCTAGTTCGCCAATAGCTGGGAGCGGTGGCGGAAGGGGGCTGGGGGGCAAGACCAGTTTCACTGATCATGTTGTGACCCCACAGTTTCCCTTTCCGAAACGGCTACACCTCAGAAGTTCTTCCAGCATCATGTCCACGCACAACTTCCCGAAACGCTGGTGACCCAGGGAGGAACGCATACACATTGATATTGATATCGGCAAGGTTGAACCTGTTGGCAAGTGTGCTTCACCTCACCTTGCCAGCGACAAGGGCGCATGAACGCAATCCGCTGCAGGGCTGCTTTCCAAGAAGGTGCAGCAAGCCGTGTTCCTCATGATGAAGGAAGGCACCTTCCTGAGGAGGGCTGGCAAAGCTGCGTTTTGCTCGAGATCTGCGCTTCGAGTTGTCCTGCGTGCAAGTCCAGGTAAGTCTCAATTTCCCGCTTTGGCCTTCCGGGCCTCCATTTTTGGATGCGTGCGCTGTTGCCCAAAGCTGGCCTCCCCATTAGAATCGGAAAAAACGGGGGGCTGAACACACACAAGCAGCCAACAGCCGCATGCACACAACACAACACAACACAACACAACGCAACACACCACACCACACCACACCACAACACAACACAATACAACACAACACACTTCAACACAACACCACACACACACACACACCACACACACCACACACACCACACACACCACACACACCACACACCACACACCACACAACACACAACACACAACACACAACACACACACACACACACACCACACACACCACACACACCACACACACACACCACACACCACACAACACACAACACACAACACACAACACACAACACACACACACACACATGCGCCTCCGTACACGACTGGAGAGAGGGCGGACCGAAAGCTGGCACTTCTTGCCACAAGCTGCCTTTTTACGAGCCTTCTTTGAACAAATCATTTTCGTATCTATCCCCCTCCCCGGACGCTTGTGAGCCAGCAACGCCGAAATTGTAAAGCTCCTAAGCAAACGGAAGCATGCGTCCGGGCAAAATGTAACGGCTGGTCATAAACTTGTCCAGCCGGACAAACCAGAAATGGCAAGTCTAAAAACAAACGGTAACGCGGGTGTGCAACGGCAATTCCAGCAATCGAACCCCTTCCGCGCCCCCCAAACATGTGGTAGAAGCCACTCGTAGTTTGTGCATTGCCCTGGATGCTGATGAGCTCCTTCGGAAAACGACGCACGCAAGACGCACCAGAGATGGTTCTAGTTCTTGCCAGACTTCGCACGCTGGAGGACCCACATCAATTTCATCTCCGACATTATGGAGACCAAGCTGAACCTCAACGTCGCGCGTAAAACTGCGGAAGACTTGACTCGACGCATCGACCTGCTTGTGCAGAACTTTGATGCCATGAGCGAGGAGGGGCCGAGATGGTGATGTTCAGGGATGACGGTTTCACCCAAAAGTCGACTAGTAGCGATTTAGAGGCTTCTTGCCCCAATCCTGCGAGGCAGCAGGGAAATGGCAGTCACGCAAACGTGTTGTCCACCCAGCTTCACTTGGAACCAGCTCCTGAAGGTTTGGGCCCCTCCAAGTGTCAAGATCAAGCCTGGGGCCCCAAGTAGTGCTCCAATTGCTGGCCTCTTGAAGCAAGAGCCCTCGTGCATTTTCTGCACGCCAAGCACCAGGTTCTCAAAACCATCTCCATGACCAAAGCGCCCTCCAAGTTGCGGAAGGCTGGACAAACTGCCAGGGGGCCCGGGGAGTGCCCTAAATCACAAGTGGTGGCGATGCCCTTCCTCACGAAAGTGGTTGCAACTCTTTCGACCTTCTCTCCCTTGGTTAAGATCCGCACAGTGGATCCCAGCCTTCAGATACCTTCGAGAGGAAGGTCCTAAAGTGCCACATGTATCGCCCATTCTGGATCGGTTCTGCTAGTGGACCTGACTTGAAGGCGATGCCCACATCTTCAACTTAACTTGCGTGCGCAGACAGGCAGTCCAGAAAAAGGCGAAGGACACTGAGACTGTGGTGCAGTGCTACGCCGTGGTGGTGGCAAGGCATGAGCTGCTTGCCTGAGCAAGCCCACGCCGTCCTGCTGCGCTGCAAGCCCCAAGCCAACAGCCAAAGAGCACTAGGAAATGGACCTGGAAAGCAGAAGTGCTTTTTGATTAGTGCTCACGGAGTGAAAGCAGTCCCAAGTGGCAGTGAGAAGCTTGAACAAAGAAATGCATCTTTGCTGTGAAAAGGCCAACGAAGCTGTTGGCACGATATGTGCGGAATCGGCTATGTTCATCGCAACTCCCTTTCAAGTTCGCAAAGGGTCTGCCTACCCCCAGCTAGATTGGGCTCGCACGCCTCGGAGGTCACATCCGTTTTGCTCCGAGGCATGCATGATTCATTGGTTGCCGGATCGAGGGGCAAGTTTGGCGGAAAGCAGCAGCAAAACCGTAGCATCAGTAGTCTGCCTGCTCAGGACGTATATGCCCATCCTGTCCGAGCTCAGCAAGTCGCTGAGAGACGCCACTGCTGCTGAGCCTGCAACCAGCGAGGCGAGCGACTGGCACAGACCTCCCCCCAAGGACAAGCTGATGCAAGCTCGGCAAAGAGGCATCAAGTACTCGCCGAAAGAGACAGGCAACCTCGGACTGGTGCGGTGGTGTTGGTGCCTGCTGTGCGCATTCATAGCTCGCAAGTGCAACTGTTGCCCTTTTGTTGTTACAACAGTCTAGGACCATGTGTTCCCGCGAGTGTTCAACTTGAATCGTCCAGTGTTGGCAGCAGCACGAAAAGCTGGCAGAGCAGAACGTTTCTGCAGTGGGGATTCAATTTGCTCGTAGGCCTTCTGGACGTGCTGTCAAAGTTCTACCTTGTTCTTCCCAAGGAGGACGCGGCAATGTGGGTTTCCCTGTACTGTTGCGTGCTTGCTCAAACGCATGTATGTTGTTGCCCATGCTTCTGCAATTCAATTCAGCTGGTGCTAAGACCGTGCGGCAAGGAGCAAACCAGATTTACGCGACTCAAGCAGTGGCTGAATCCGTTCAACCTGTTCCGACCCTTGGCGCGAGTTTAGCGCTAGGGTCCATTCTGCCTCTGCGGAAACTGAGGCAGAACTCTGGGTCCAGGAACCCTTGCTAGAGGCCCAAGGAGTGCAAAGATCAAGGCCTCAACCACTGGACGGCGGATTTGGGCAACTGCTTGCGATAAGGAACCCAGCTCCGCATCGACAAGCTGGTGAAGAAGGACTCGCCCCTTGGGCTTCATACTCTCCTCCATGTGGGAGTTTAGGTGGAAGGCCGATTTGTTGGCAGCGTTCACGTGTCAGCAGCTTTGCTCAGGAAAGACTGCTCCTTCAAGAAGGTCCCGCGCCTTCCTGCATGCCTCTGCTTGTGATGGGAATTCAGTCCACGGTAAACCCCCCAACTCACAAAGTATTTGAGGCGTTCCAAATTGCCAACCACCTGGACATTCCAGCGGGAACTGTTTTCTTTCCTGCTTTGCCTTTACAGCGCAGGCGGCCGCACATTGCCATAAACGCCTCAGCAGTAAAATACGCTTGCAACAACGCCCGCAAAAAGCCGCACACACAATGCCACACAATGCCGCCTACATCACCACAAACGCCCCAAGTCGTGAAACGCCCGGAAAAAATGCACGAAATCCAGGCATTGCATGGCCGGGCACAAGGCGAGAGCCCAACTGTAACGCAAAATGGCAAGTCTGAAAAGGCAAAAACTCGTCTGCACCAGGGCAAGCACACCAGCCTAGGAGACTTGACAAACATGACACATGGTTAGCAGCCACATTTCGGCCAAGGATTTCCAGTCGCAAAACGGATAAGCTGGGTCACCCCCTTTCCTTCCCTCCAGCTGGCACTCCTCTCCTTGGATCCTTGGACAGGTGCGGCGCATGACGCAGAGCGGGCTCTGGAAGGAGTTTCAGACATGCTGCACAGAACGGAGCAAGCAGGTCCTGGGATGGGAGATGAACATCCGCGCCTTGGCCAAACAACAGCAAGAAGGCACGGATTTGCGGCATACGCAATTTGTGATCCACCCAAAAGGCCCAGGAATGCGTGCGCATCACCGGGTCAGGGGACACAATGAAATGCATTAGGTCCTCAAGCATTGCTGGTCCATGCATTTGCTTCCTGGTGGCGCATGGCCAGCTGAGGCAACGTGCATACGCAGATCAACAAGATCTTGGACATGATGGGCTACGTTAAGGGAAACTTTGTCACGCGCAACATCCGAAAGGCCTTCAGATTTGCCAGGCACCGACCACCGGAGAATGTGAGAAGTTGCTGTGATTCGGTCAGGTTCAAGAAGTTCCGCCTTTTGGCTCGGCCTTTGCAATACGTGTGTGTGTGTGTGTGTGCTTGTGCGCAGGCTTGGCTTTTCATGAAGCTTCCTTTGTTGCGTTCCACTAGGTTTTGCATGTTCTAAGGCTCTCTTTTTTTGCAGCATGTCCGACTTGCAAAGACCTGGGGGGAGTTGCGGTGCCATGAGGTTTCGCACTTGGTGTTGTTGTCTGCCACACGAAAGAGCAAATTCATGCTGCGTTCCATGCAGAGAGACGGTGGGTGGGAGTTTCTCGGTACTTGGGACCATTGGGTGGGCTGAGTTCCATGGGTAGGTATGGGTGCAATTTCTTAATGGATTAAACTAATAATTTGATCAGGACATTCAGGCTACCTGGACGCCCAATGCACGGAAGTTGGGTGTGACAACCCTGCCCACGACTGCCTGGCAGGGACACGTTGCTGGGCATCAGCCGTAAGAGGGGCATCTGGATCGAGGAGGAAGCTGCGGACATGCTGGATGGCACAGCGCCCCTTGCCCTTGGCGACGGACTTGGGTTTGACTGCAAGGTCTTTGAGGGCAATGGATCAACAATGGAAACACCTAGGTCGTCAGCCGCTTTGAGTATACAGGTAGCTTGAGGATACAGTTGCAGATTGGAGAGGGGCTTGTATCGTCATGATCATAGACCGTTTGGAGAGCAATAATAGCCGTCGCACTTCAGAGACATTGTGGCTCAGGAAGGACTTCCAAAAGGCCTTGAACGAGGATGGGAATGGGGAGCGTATGGGGCGGCAAGGAAGTTTGCCGGGTCATGTTGACCAGAGCATACTTATCTCACTCCCTCAGTTCAAGCTTTTGGGGAAGACCATTTGGTAGACAAAAAGTTCAGACTGTTTGGCCAATCCACTCGGGAAGTGAGTTATCTTGCTTGGCGTCCGGCATCAAGTTTTGGAGCTGCCTGTCCATGCTTGGGGCTTCGGAATGTAGACAGGATTGTCCCAGTGCCCGAACCTGCTATTGCCAATACATGATCTTTAGACGAACTATTGGCAAATCTTAATTGTAAACGCTTCGCGTTGCCCGCCTCGGCCCAGCCTAGTTTGAGGGAAGGGTCAGGAACACCGAAATCCAGTGTTGGGAAGGTCCGACCGAATCCTACTGAAAGCTTGTGACCGCACCAGTTCGCCCGTGCTAGTTCGATGTTCGGAAGCCGTCCTGCTCGGACAGTCTCGGGCAGCTTGGCTGGTCCTTGCTTGCGTGGGTTGTTGGTTGAGCTGGGCCTGAAGCTAGTTTACGGCGGGCTGGGCAGCCGCACTGAGGGGGCTGGGCTATGGCTGGGCTGGGCCTGAGGCCAGTTTCAGACACGTCAGACAGGCCTGGCCAGCAGGCGGACTGGGGTGGGCTAGACGCTAGTTGAGCCCAGGCTGGTGAGGCCCAGTCTCGGCGCTAGATAGGCTGAGGCCTGCGAGTCTGAAACAGGGTAGGCTTGGGTGAGGTTGCTGGTTGGGCTGGGCCTGAAGCTAGTCTCAGTTGCTGGCTGCTGGGCAGCCGGACTACGCTGTTGGTTGCGCCTGGAACTTCGGCTGGGCTGGGCTGTGCTTGGGCGGGTCGCTGGATGGGCAAGGCCTGTCTCATACACACTTGGGCCTGAGGCTGGGTAGCGAGTTGCTGGCTGGAGCAGGAGGTCAAGGCCTGGCCAGCCTGGGCTGAGCTGCTTGGGCAGCCGGACTGGGGCTGGGGCACGTCAGACAGCTGGCGTAGCTTGAGACCAGTCTCAGACACGTGAGACTGGTCGTTGGCCTGAGGCCAGTCTCAGACACGTTAGACAAACCTGACCTGCCACGCTGGGCTGAGCCTAGGCTGCAAAGCCATGGGTGGGTTGCTGGCTGCCGGACTACGCTGCTGGAGCTGAGCTGTGCTTGGGCGGGTTGCTGGATGGGCAAGGCCTGTTTCATACACACCTGGGCCGGGTGGCGAGTTGCTGGCTGGGCCTGAGGCCAGTCGCAGACACGTAAGACACGCCAGCAGGCGGGCTGAGGGACTGGGCCCGAGGCTAGTCTCAGGCTACCAGTCTCAGACTGCGCCGAACTGGGCCGGGCCAGACGCGAGCAGGAGGTCAAGGACCTGGCCAGGAGGGCTGAGCTGCTTGTGCAGCCGGACTGAGGGGCTGGGCGCGTCAGCCCATAGTAGCTGGTGCAGCTTGAGACCAGTCTCAGACACGTGAGACTGGTCGTTGGCCTGAGGCCAGTCTCAGACACGTTAGACAAACCTGACCTTGGCACGCTGCTAACCTGAGCCTGCTGGGCTGGGAGCTGGGGGCCGGCCTAGTGGCTGGCATGCTCTGAGATGCGCCGGGCCTGGGCTGGGCAGGCTGGGCTGTGGTTGGGCTGGGCCTGAAGCTAGTCTCAGCCACAAGGCTGCGAAGCCATGGGTGGGTTGGGCAGCCGGACTACGCTGCTGGTTGCGCCTGGAACTTGGGTTGGGCGGGCTGGGCTGAGCTGTGCTTGGGCGGGTTGCTGGATGGGCAAGGCCTGTGTCATACACACTTGGGCCTGAGGCTGGGTGGCAAGTTGCTGGCTGGGCTGGGCCTGAGGCCAGTCGCAGACACGTAAGACACGCCAGCAGGCGGGCTGAGGGACTGGGCCTAGTCTCAGGCTGGCATACTTTGAGACCAGTCTCAGACTGCCGACACGTTAGACAAACCTGACCTTGGCACGCTGGGCTGGGCCGGAGCTGGGGGCCGGCCTAGTGGCTGGCACGCTCTGAGATGCGCCGGGGCCTAGGCTGGGCAGGCTTGCTGGGGTTGCTTGGGCTAGGCCTGTTTCAGACAAGCTTGGGCCTGAGGCTGGGCTGACAGGCCTGGCCAGCAGGGTTGGGCTGGGCCTGAGCCTAGTCTCAGACACGTCAGACAGGCCTGGCCAGCAGGAGGTCATGCTTTTCAGGACAAAAAAGCAGTTTTTTAGTGATTTTCGCAATTGTCGACAAAAATGGACCCATGGAGCTGGACGCCGACGAACCCCGAAAATTTCAAGGCCCGCCGGACAGCATTTTGGGCCAGCCGACATGGGTTGGGGGGGCCGGCAAAATTTTGGTTGGGGAGGAAAAGCGAAGATTCTCTTTGGAGAAGAGATCTGAGCGCCCTTGGCCCCTTTGGGGCCGAGGCGAATTTATTAGGGGGAATCTAAGATGAAGTATTGGCAACACAAAGCTTAGTATTGTCAATACTGAACTTAGCATTGGGAACCTGAGATGAAGTATTCATAAGACTCAATAATTGGCAATGCTAAGAATGGTATTGCCAAGGCTGAGTTTAGCATTGGGAACCTAATGACAATACACAGTCTAGTTTTCGACAATACTGAGTTTAGTTGCGGAAATCTAAAAAGGTATTGAGAATCTAAGATCAACTATTGGCAATACCATATTTAGGAGTGGACTTACTGAATGGTTGTGGGAACCTACGATCAAGTGGTAGCACAAAATTCAATTGTGGCAAGCCTTCGTCAACTATTGGCAATAATTTGGTATTGGCGGCACCGAATCTGGCATTGGAAATCTAAGATCAAGTATTGGTTGGCAATACTAATTTGTGTAGTCGGAATATGGGGGTCTAAGATCAAGTATCGGCTATACTGAGTTTGGTAGTGGAAATCGAGGACCAAGTAGCGGCAATGCTCAATGTAGTATTGGCAGCACTGAAATTGGCAGTGGGAACCTAAGATCCAGTATTGGAAGTACCAAATTTAGTACTGGCAACTTGGGGATCTAATGCAAGCTTCATGCTCAATGTAGTATTGGCAGCACTGAAATTGGCAGTAAAAACCTAAGATCCAGTATTGGAAGTACCAAATTTAGTACTGGCAACTTGGGGATCTAATGCAAGCTTCAATGTTTGCCTCGAAAGCCCCACCCCCCCCCACCCCCCGCCCCAAAAGAACCCCCCCCAGCGTTGCCAACACTAAACTTGGTGTTGCCATTTGTTTTATCCTAGATTTCAAATACCGAGTTTAGTTCTGCCAATCTAAATTTAGTATTGTCAATACTGAATCGTAGGTTCCCAACGCTAACTTCAGCATTGGTAATACTGCACTTGGTGTTGCCAATGCTGAATCTTAGATTCCCACCACAAAAATTCAGGATACACAATACTTCACCTTTGCTTCGGGGAAGGTGAAAACCATTCAGAAAAGCTTAAACGGGACTGCTTTCTTCATTTTACTCAGTTTCGCTTAGACAGTTTGTTTGACCCAAAATGTATTTCGCAAGCTTAGACCAAGCTTTTTGACAATTGCGTTGAGCATTTGTGTTGACCTATCTCCCATGGAGGCTGGACGGAAGTTAAATATAGTGTTTGGCGGGCCCCCCCCCCCCTCCCGGGCCCATTTCGCCTAGGAAATGAGGGGTGTGAGCAGCCCCACCTGTTCGGACAGGGTATGGACACCCATGGAGACCGAGTCTAGACGTTTCGCAGGAGAACACCCAGAACAACAAGCGTGGGGCAGTCTTCCAACAACTCACCGAGGACATGTACAACTCTGTGGGCTCGGGGGCCTAGCGCTGAAGACAGGAAATGTAGCCCATGCCAGGGTTCCACTTGTTGACAACCCCCACAATGACTTAAACCCAGGGGTGGGTCATGTACCCCAAAAAGGGAACCCCGGGGTTTAAGTCTATTTGCAGGTGGTCAAAAAATAGAACCCTGCCCCATGCAGCGTGCTTCGTTCATGGTCTTCACCTTTGAAAGAGCTGTGCTGGTTTGACTGAAAGATTTCCTGGAAAGGATCGCGCAGATTCGAGGAGCTTGCATTGCCTCCAAACCAAAACACCCAAATGGAAATAGGATATTAAAACCACAAACCACCATCAGATAGGCACTGCCAATCTCCGGCGTGGAGTGGGAGTCGGTTGAGTTAGTTCTCCAGGAGTTAAACGGGCGCGGCAAAGACTTTTGGAGACCCTTTCTAGCAATCCAGCTAGAATTTGTCGCCTTGCCTAAGACGAAGGGTGACGCCCAAGGAGGTCATTATTTTACTGCACTCAATTTGGTGGCTGGATTCAAGCTGAGACGGATCAGCCTTTGGTAATCTATGGGTTGTTTGTGCTAGGGTTTGATTGTCTCAAGCCCTGTCCCTACAACCACTCATGTTCTGGAGAGCATGGTAGGCAGGATGCTGTTTGAATTTAGGGTGAAGGTGAATGACCTGAAGGAGCGTTCAGTGGCATTGACGAATGGTGGTTCCATCCATTTCGGTTGCGGGGGAGCGCTTGAATCGATGTGTTGCCCAGGGTTTGTTAGCTTACACCTCGGCTCGGCCAGGTGACCGCGGTGTCCGGCGTGGGTTCTTCAAAGAACTGAGGTGAGGGCAGCGGGACAGGTCCTGAGGCTTCCTTTCAACTGTGACAAAACATTACTGGCACAACCATGCAAACGACGGTCATTGCCACTGCGAACATGGTGTGAAGCAACCTCACCCATGATGAAGCGCAGGCTGGCATTAGGTATTTGCATAGTCCTCCTTCAGGGGTTCTGGTTTTGACAGGGCATGATTCAAGCCTGTCATTGCTTTGTTGAGGCTCGCAGGTCGACGGGGCTTGCTGCACTTGCTTTGGGTCAACATTGTCTTGGCCAAGAGGAGGTCCCCATTTTGTTGGAGTTGGGGTAGGATGATTGCAAGCTGTGCAAGCGGCCATGCCGGGCTGACAAGCTGGTTGTGAGCTGTGAGGTCTAGAATGTATGGCACTGTTGCTTTGTTTGCCCTTGGCTTGGGGAGGCTGTTGAGAACCACCGGGGTCGCGTCCACCACATCCACAAGCTGCGTCAATGGCACAGGGAGCCGTTTCACGCAAGCAGACAGATTCTTGCAAAGGAGGTGCAGGGACCGGAGGGAAACCAATCAATCTGGAATATGCCAATATGCACAATTTGCCTGGAGTGCTGACAACATGCGCGGCTCATGGGTTTGAATCCCCAAACACGATTACAGCCTTGTGGCCTGCCTTGGCAACTTCTCGCATTTGCGATTGAGTCATTCAGAGTTCTTGCTGCAGAAGCGATCAACAGGGTGGGACAGAAATGCACTCGGAAACCTGAAGTCATCTCTTTTTGCGGACGTTCAGGCCACGACTTTGGTTCCGTGTTGGGGCGGGCCATTTCTTGAAGCCACTTGACTCGTTTGAGCCCGGAAGGAATTCAAATTCGTCATTGGCACGTTTGAACAGATGCGTGTGTTTCTACACCCGCCCCATGGCCTCGAGCAAGCACGTGCGCATATAAGTGATCATAGATTTTCCTGGCTTCGGATGCTGTGCCCTCCAGCTGGGCTGAGTTTCTTGAATGGTCACCCGTTCCCCCCGTATGGCTCGCCATGTGCAGGTTCGACGTGGTGAAGCGGAACGCATTGAAGGAGCTGAAGAACGGTAAGGACCAGTTCATGGCCATCCGCAAGCTGCTGACCCGCCTGTCCGGTCGCATTGCCGGGGCCTTGAAGCCACACCGAAAGGCTGGTGGCACCCTCCTGTGCTCGCAACATGGCAATCCACAGCTAAGCTTGACTAGAAACCATCCCGTTCCACCACCTCGTGCCTTTAGATTAATTATAAGGCATTCGATGTAGCGCGTGTTTTTAGGTGTTGGCTACTTTATTTTAGTCTGCAATGCCTGCCCTTGCTAGTTCAACCAGGGCAAGCTCTGATTTACATGTTCCTTGTACGTCCGCCTTAGTTTCGAATCCACCGCTTGTCGTTCATGTGAGCAAGTGGAAGAGACAATGCTCGCTGTGGAAAGGATATTTTCATCTTAAGTATTCTTACCCTTTTGTGAGAACCCCCTGTTTGAGTTCCATTTCAGTTGCAGTGGGGTATTGACAAAACCTTAAAGCCCAGTGTCCGAGGCAGTGAAGGAAGAGTTCTTCAATGAGGTCAGCGCAGGCGGAGACAGCGCCGACACCCTGCCAAGGATTTCCTTCGCCCCTTGGCCGAGCTTTTTTGGAAGGGTCCATTTTTGTCAAGCTTCACAGGGTCCGGTTTGCAAGCAGCCAATAGGCCCCAACCGCCGGCACGCGACTCAAGCCGGATAGGGGCTGGTGTCGGAGCTTGCTTACCCTGTTACCTTTGCATAAGATAAAACATGTAAATGTAAATGTACATATGTACGAGTTCTCTAGAGGCAGGCAAATAGCGTGAATACAGCATAAAGCCATTGCTGCGTCTTCAGAGCCATGCAGCCTTCTCGCTTAGCACTTTCCCACGGCAGCCCTGCGAGGAGATTGTAGACCACGGCCATTGTGAAGACAAGCCTCGCAGACGAAAAGCCTCAGCAGTTGAATGCGAGCCTGGGCCTTGGCGGGGTTTTGGCCTAACCCTCCCTGAGACTTCTATTGATTGGTGCTGTCATGCGTTGAGCTTTCACATATTGACTTAGAAGCCCAAAATATTGCAACTGTTGCTCGCAGACCAACAGCAGGAAACAGTCCCTTTGGAAGGGCTTGTTCGCAAGCCCACCTCCCCAACGTTCAATTTAGAGCACACAATCGTGACCGCCCCTTGCGCCAGCCAGCTTTGCGCAGCTTCAAAATTCTGAACTTGTGGGAAAGGGCTGCAGCCGTCAATATGTCCCATTGCGCTCGTTTTCCTTCAGCGGCATATTGTTCCTTCAAGGATCTTATCGATCAAAGCCACGAGCCATCGACGTTGAGTGCTCTACATGGGCAGGTTGCGGGCCCCAATGTGTAATGATTGCCGAATGGATCAACCGGGTCAGTATGTGCAAGGGCTGTGGAATCAGCGGTTTGGTGTCAGTGCATGGCTGGGGCTTGCATCCGCAATTGCTTTTCAGGAGCGCATCACCCGGCATTGGTCTCCGGTTCAAGGGTGGCAGCTTCTTCTACAAGTAAACGCCTCAGAGAGCTGTGCGGTCCAGCTGCCCTGGGAATCCCAAAGCAGAGAGCCTGTATTGGCTGAATGTGTTGGAAAGGCAGTGCGATGTCGGAAATGCACAGCATGCTTGGAGCTCTAAGCCAATGGTAGCCGATGTCATGCATCAAGATTGCGATGGTCCCTGCGGCTACCCTATTGCTGTATGTTCCATGTTGGTGCAGAACCTGGCTTAGAGATCCCTGTAGCAAGGAGTTTTGAAGAGAATGCCAGAGATCCATGAACATGCGCCCTTGGTTCATAGCGGCCATGTGCCGCTCCACTTGCCAAGTTGCTAACTGAGGTCGACACCTGCAGGCGAGAGGGAGAGCCGTGTTCACGTCCAAACGGACCGCATGCGCCGAGACCACCACTTGACTCAACACCATGGTCCCCTGTTTTTTGTTTTTGTTTGTTTTCTCCGGATGGACTTTCAAGTGAAAACCGAAAGGAAACCAACCACCTGAATGGGGTCCCCAATCCACTGGTCACCAAGATTGCTGCTTTGCTTCAAAGCAATAACTCAGCTTGCAAGAAGATGTGTGCAGAAGCCTAATGTGCAGACAGGCGGGCTTTTCATTTGCCAGATTTTTCGAGCACTTGGATGCATCAGCTTAGCACAAGATCCAAACAGGGACGGATATAGAAATGCGGGTAGCGCAACTATGACAACTTGAAATTCTGACATTCCTTGTTACGACAATTGTTTCACGTGCTAATTATCACGCCTGCTTGTGCCAGGCTGTCTCTCCTACCCCGCTGCCAAGTCATACTTCAAGGACAGCCCCACTGGAGGCGAATGCGGCTACGACAAGATCAATTGCATTTGTGCGGCTCGGGCGGACTTGATTGGTAGCCTCCCCAACTAAACTCCTGGCACGTTCCGTTTGATGAGCAGCGGGGATCAGCTAGCATTGGTTCCACACGGCTTTTTCGACATGCCAGCGCACGTCAAACCAAATTCTGGTTTGCGTTGCACCGAGTGACACATCAAAGGCTGAGAAAGGCGAGGCAGAGTCTGCCGAGTTTGACGAGCTGTCAAAATCTTTGGAACCAAGGCCATCGAAAGCTGATCAGCTGATGGCAGGGGTGTAGAGTGAGTCCGGAGGGCAACATGCTTGCGATATGATGATGCCACGCGCCCGCTGGCGAGACTTGAAATCGCCTGTTAAATGACCAGGAGCTTTCCTGGTCAACCACGATCACAGTATTAGTCCAACCATGCTTTGCAATCGCTTCGTGCCCCAAGCGAAGCATCAAACGATAGCATGGACAAGCCCTTGTGGCAGCCAAAGGCTTGTGCAAGTCAACTCGGGAGGGAGGGACGGCGGGAGAGGGAAATAGATAGAGAGAGAGAGATTTATGGGTTGGATTTATCCTTGCAGATGCGTTTTGTCCACGGCCGGCTTGCTGACTCACATGCTGGCCAACATGTAAAAATGTGATATTCGCTGTGGCATGATTCGTCGTTTTCGTCATCTTGGCTCAGCCGAGTGCTTTAGTGAGTTTTTTGTATAACGTAAGGGGTATGATGTTTGTAGCCTCGCCTTCCTGCTTGCAAGGGTCATTTGGTGACTGTGCTCCTTCATTGCGGTGCACAAGTTGCGAGCCGACCCTGGTCATGGGCCCCTTCAGAACTTCACCAGTGGTGTAGAAAAGCGGCCCAGATCAGCCGGAAATTGTGCACCAATTGCGCCAAAGCGTGCGCCTGGCGCACGCCATTGGCAGCTGAGCCATGGAGATCAGAAGCTTATGATTTGGTGGGCAGCCTTGATCCCGTGCCATGGCAGACTTGGGATCCTAGGGCCGGGCCGCCCTGAGTACACATGGAAAGGGATATTGGGTGCAATCTGTCTCTTTGCATGCACATGACAAGTACATATGCATCTATGCGCACAATACGTGTTATCGTGTGGACGCACAAAAATGTATTTGTGGCGCTGGTTTCGGGCACGGGGCTTGGGGGGGGAGGGGTTTGCCTTTTTACTCACCAGGTATGCAGCAGCGCGCACCCCGCAGGCAGGCAGCACTGGCGTGGCTCCCCGCCGTGGACAGTTGGCTTCACGTGGTCCATTCCGTTTGCTCGCATTTGTTTGAGGAGACCTGGGGCCAGAAGTTTGGCACGAAAGAGACATCAGCATCCTTGTTTGCGATGCTTGTTGACAATTACTTGATTTTGTGTTTTAGCTCCCCGTGCGGCTGTCCATGGCAATTCCAAAGTAGCTGTAGGCTGGTGAAAACTTCAGCTTCAATTAGCTTCGGATCACGAAAGGTATAAGTCAGGTCTGATGTTCAACGAGGGTTACGGATGCAATGCAAGCCAATTGTTGTTGTTGGCATGTCAGAATAAGTATTTTCATGTTGATGAGTTGTGTCGGACATTTGCTAGCGCCAGCTGACATGTGGTGGGAGGCAACATGGGAAATTTTTGCCGTCAGGGTGTTTGCTGCTTCACAGCCAAAGACATCACTCGCCACCAGCGGCATCTTGTGGTGGAAGGACCGGGGGCAGCCACCATGGTCGGGCCCCTTTGAAGCAGCTTGTCGGTGAAAGAGGGGCACTTGGCTACTCCAATCTGATCTGCACGGGGCTCGCAGAAAACGAATCTCCAAAGTGGCTAACAGCTAGCATGTCCATGCGGGTTATGCAGTTCTTGCCTGGCAGGTGTTAACTTGTCATCGGCCCATGTGTTCTCCAAGGACAACACCACATGCCCAAAGAAGACAAAAGGCTCACATGTAAATGCTAGTGAATTCGGCTCGCAAAGGCCACGGCTTGCTCATACGGATGCTTGGCCTTTTTCACTGCTCCCACTGGCCAAGTCCCCAACCATCCTTGCCCTGCCCATATTACCAGGGGCTTTTTGCGACTCCTTCGCGCAGCTCCTCCATGGGATTTCCCGCGTGGCAGATGAGCTCCAGCTGTTCGGGGAGGCACGAAGCGTGATTTGCATGGAGTCTGTGAGAGGCTGGTTGGATTCACCGATTGGCCCGTGGGTTTTCTCGCCTAGGGACGAAACGCACGGATGACCTCTTGTGACCTTCGTTGGTTTCCAAGACTTGGTCGCAGCTGGGCCACCAGGTCTTGGTCGGTTTTTTGTTGCGCAGGCCTTCTCCATTGGGCAGCTGCAGGACAACAAGTCCCTGCGCCTAGAGGTGATGTCCCTGGCAGGCCTGCGCAGAACCCCATCCGCCAACCTGTGACGTTTGGTCAATCAGCATTCTCAATGAACATGTCAATTGCCAGTGGGGTCCCAGGCTGCCAAGGACCCGAGACAGTCATAGGTTTTCTAACGGCCATGGGGCTTCCTAATTTGTGTGCCACTTCGGGTCCAAGTTGGAGGCTTGGCCTTGTTGAGGGCACAACTTGCAGGCTTGCATGCCTTGGATTGGCCAACTGCTAGTTTCAAGCGACGTGTTGCAAAGTCAAACTACCCAACATGAGTTGAGAAGCTCTCTACGGTGGGCTGGGTCGTGGTTGTGTTGTATTTGTGTCCAGTGGCACTCGAGGATGTTGGCCGATGTTATGACTCATCGCACGCTGCTCACTGATACAAGCCCTATGCACCATTCAACCTAGATTCGGGGCTGCGCAACGCTGCCAGGAATCAAGGGCAACAAAGCGGCGCACAGGCAGGTTGGGTACCAATCAGTGATCTTGAAGCGAGCCATGTTGCTATCAAGACGTCAGTGAGTGAAGAGACTTCGGAGTCGAACCAACCTGAATGCTAATCCTGTTGCAAAGGTCTGCCAATTGGCCCACGTCCTTTCTCTGAACCAGAAACCCCAACGTGTTAGGCACCTAGAGTCTTCAGTTGGGCCTCCAAGCAGTGTGTTTTGCAAAGTTGTGTCTTGATTTCCTTTGTTCGTTGAACCTCAAGGGGCTTGCTAGCCCGAACGCGTTAAGCTTCCGCAGTATCCACAGCTTGGCTGCTCAAGCGGCGCGCGGAGCCTTCGGCGCCGCAGCATGAAGCCGCCCTGGCCATGCCTGGCCAGATGCACAGGTTCGGTGCCCGACTCCTTGACATAGGCAAGGCTGCTGGACTGACCAATCAGTGGCCAACGAGACAACAAAAACACTTCCGGCCAGGTGCCCTTTGCAACTAGTTGAAAACAAGCAGGCCGAACTTGTTTGAAAATGGTTGCTTTCAACGGGCGTGGTGTTGTGCGGGTTTGCTCGGCCGCCGTTTGCTTACTCAGCTCATGAGAAGGGCTTTGCTAGCAGTGCGGCGGGGGGGGGGGGGGCTGATGAGTAGAGCGTCTGCTGTAGGGGCCGTGGAAGATGGCGGCAACCGGGGATGGGCGATCAACCAGCCCAACAAGCCACCGCCACGCGTGCCGCAGCCTGGCGCGGGTGTTAAGCACCACTTCTGCCTGAAGTGTGGTTTGTTGAGCTGCTTTGATTGTGTGGCACTTGAAGCCTTGCATCACTGCCATGTCAGTCTCTAAGCGGATCCAAGGAGCAATCATTAAGCTCTGAGCATGGTGGCGCATGCTGCCACAACAAGAATGAACAGTTAGAAGTATTCGGACGGGCAAAATGACCCAAACACCAGCACACATGCACCAGCCTCTCAAAAAATAAAACCAAACCAGCTCGCGACTCGTGCCGGCCCCTTCAGCCTCAGGTTCATCTCGGCGCAGGAGCTGCACGCCATGTGCTACGCGCGGCCCATGCTCCGAAAGTCGCCCTCGGCGATCTCTATGCAGGCGACCGGCAGATGGGCGGTCTGGATCCATTGGTAAAGGATATGGTGGGATATGCAAGGCAACTGGTTGCGGCGCAGGGCAGTGTCGAGTCAAGGATTTGTTGTCGTTAGTGTTGGTGTCTTTTGTGGCTACCGTGGCCTCGTGTCACGCCTTGTTAGCGTGGGAACGTCCCGTGTCGGCAGTTCCATTTCGGCACGCTTGCGCCAGAGATTTGTTGAGGCTTGTTTGCTTGAAGCTCTGCGGGGAGTCCTGCCATGCAGCATGATTCTTCAAAGTCATCGTGATTTGGCAAGCACGCGTACTGTGAGAGTAGGCGGTGTATCCGAGTGCTTCAAAGATTGGGTTTGCCAGGCAAAGCAGACGCGAGTCAACGGGCAAGCGCTCCCTGATAGACCCTGGACGATGTCCTCGGCTTCTTCCTGTAGCCTGTCTTTTTTTTTGCGCACTGTATTCTCAGGCCTGCTACTGGAGTGGCAACCGACCAGGGTAGTATATTATATAGATAGCTTCTTTTTGTGGGGGAAGGTAAAGCTGTTGGAACCAAACAGGTGAGCCAATGCCAATGAGACCGTCAGTCAGGCACAGGCTAAACTAATCTTGGCCACAGCTGCCAGGCAGTCATTGAACATGCAAACTGCCTTACGTGAGGATGTGTCCCAGTATCTTGGAAAAACGTGGACTGGGACCAGCGGCCAGGATCAGGGAAGAACGCCATGTTGCACAGACAAATATAAGATGGCTCATGTTGGTGACCTGGTGCACCGTGGAACAGGAGCAGTTCGAGCCCACAGATTGCCCTTTCGCACAAATGATTGCATGCCCTGCGGCCAGAATTGACTCATAAATCCCATGGAGTCTTATGAATACTCATGGTAAGCCATACGTTCTTCTTTGTCTACCCCGGGTCAATTTGCCGCATGCGTGGCTCTGGGAATAGGTCTGAAACAGCTCACGAGGCTCGCGCCTGGGGCTGGAGGAGCTGCATCGGGACCCGAGGGCCTAGGGCTGGTTGGTTTTAGCAAAGCCTCTAGACTTGCGATTTTGGTAAATGTTCCCCAAACCCTGGTTGCCATCAGTTCCAATGTTCCGATTTCGGTATCAGTTCCTGGTTGGCCCCACCTGATCTCCAAATGGTTTAGGCATTCACGAGGGTCTCAGCTAACACCGCAATCGCAGCCAGGATAGCCGGCCCCACAGCCGCTGCCTGGCTGCAGAAAGGGTAGGGACGCTTTTGAAAGGAACGATGGCACGCACTTCAGCGGTTCTCAGCTATGCCACCCACGCAATATTTATGTGTGCTAAGTGTAGAGAGAGAGAGAGAGAGGCAGAGAGAGAGGGAGAGGGAGAGGGAGAGCACGTGTGCGGTGGTCAGGAAGGAATGTTCGTACTTGTGACATTTGATTTGCACTCAGGCAATTCCCTAGCCATCCAGGACATCAGACTGTGAGAATGTGCAGTTTGGCACTACATGTGATGCTTGCGGTTGAGCTGGTCAATCAACCCTGGACAAGCGCACGTGCTGATTTCAATTGTTGTGTATAGCTTAGTGGGGGACCGGTTTTTTTGTGCAAAGAGAGCGCTTGTTGGCCAAGTTTGTCAGGAAGGAAAGAGAAAGCCTTTCCATGGCCTGGCCAGGATACCCGCTCAGATCGTCCCTTCAGCCAATCGTTCAGCCGCCGATTGGCTGCAGGATTTTGCGTCCATACCCGGGCAAGTTTTGCAGATTGCCTCGCTTCACATGAGCAACAATCAAAACCTGGGTAGATGCAGGTTGGCAAGGGATGCTCCCAACCATAAACGGCTGCGGCCGCCTTCTTAATTATTTACATGATTCTGGGTAGACCATGTTAATTCCGGGTTTTGATTATGACTCAGATTGCCATGCTCTAGTTGAATGTGCCAACCGAATGCAGCTGACTGGCGCTCAGGCAACTCACTTGCCCTGCAGGACGCTGACAAACTGCGCTGCGGCGTCTGGTTCCGTGTGTCAGTTTGACCAAGAGCATAGCATAAGTTGCCAAGGAATCTGGATTTCACGAGGGAGAGAGACACACAGAGAGTGGCATGTGGGCTGCTGTGTCACACAGATTTTGACATGACAAGCTTCTTGTGTTGAGCAGGTCCTGTTTTACTCCCAAGCTTCGCACCTGAACTGTCATGCGTGACAGCTTTCATAGCATGTCACTTGATGACTGCTGTCCCACGCGGCCATGCAGGACAACCGGTCACCTCGTCCCGTCAGCCGCCAGCTGGCTGCAAGGGCGAGAATTGCGAGCATCCACGCCCGGAGAACATTGGGAGATTGCCTCGCTTCACTTGTCTGCCCTGGTTGGTGCCATGTTCCATTTGAATATGCATGCGGGTTGCATGTGACTGACGCGCAGGCAATGCCCTCCAGGACGCTGACGAACTGCGCTGCGGCGTCCGGTTTCCGTGTGTGTCAATCCAGGGTGGAGCAAATTTTGAACAAGAGCCAGAGCCAAGAGCATAGCAGAAGTTGCCAAGGAATCTGGTAGCGAGAGAGGAGAAAGAGGTTTGTCATGCGTATGAAGGCGTGCCTTGCTCAGATCACAATCCAACCAAGACCAATTGATTAAGCTGATGGACAAGCTTCTTTTGTTGATCACGGGCCTGTTGTATGCCCGGACTCGTGCGTCTGTCGTCACTGTCCAGCGCGGCCATGCAGGACAACCGGTCACCTCGTCCCCCCAGCCGCCAGCCGGCTGCAAGGGCGTTGGAAGATTGCTTTGCTTCACTTGTCTGCCCTGGTTGGGTGCCATGTTCCATTTGAATATGCATGTGACTGACGCTCAGGCAACTCACTTGCCCTTCAGGACGCTGAGAAACTGCGCTGCAGCATTTGGCTTCTGTGTGTGTGTAAATGTAGGGTGAAGCTTATGTTGAACAAGAGCCAAGAGGATAGCATAAGTTGCTAAGGAATCTGGACTTCTGGTGAGAAGGGAGAGAGAGAGAGAGAGAGAGAGAGAGAGAGAGAGCAGATCACAATCCACCCAAGACTAAATGACGAAGCTTATGGAAGAGCTTCTTTTGTTGATCACAGGCTCTGTTGGACTCCCAAGCTTTGGATCTCAGATGTTGGTCATGCTGCGGCTTTACTCACTCATGCGTGACAGCTTTCCGCATAGTAACATGTCACTTGAAGACTGATTCATGGACCAGCCGCAGACTGCCCGGCTGCCCTCGCTCGTGCATTTCTCGTGACTGTCCGGCGCAGCCATGCAGGACAACCGATCACCTCGTCCCGTCAGCCGCCAGCTGGCTGCAAGGGCTGCAAGAGTATGCAAGAGTGAGAATTGCGAGCGTTGGAAGGTTTCTTCGCTTCACTTGTCTGCCCTGGTTGGGTGCCATGTTCCAGTTGAATATGCATGCCGGTTGCATGTGATGACGCTCAGGCAACTCACTTGCCCTTCAGGACACTGACAAACTGCGCTGCAGCGTTTGGTTTCTGTGTGTGTGTGTGTCAATCCAGGGTGAAGCTTATGTCTTATGTTGAACAAGCGCCAAGAGGATAGCATAAGTTGTCATGGAATCTGGAGGATTTGTTGTACTCGCGAGCTTTGCAGATGTTGGTGTTGCTGTGCTGCGCTGCCCCCCCCCCCTCCCTGACTGGCACGACTCGCTTGGCTTTCCTGACTGCCCTGCAGGACAGCCTTCCAGCTAGCCGCCGCTTGGCAAGAACGGCAATGCATGTTCATGCCCTTTTGAGGTTAGGAACGATGTGCTTGCTCCAAGAAATGGGTTGATTCTGCTACGCAAGCGGCTTAAGATCCAATCAGATCCGGTCTGTTTGCGCAAACGCTGATGCGACGCCATTTGGCTGTGGGTCAAAAATGGGTACCCAAAATACAAGCCTGGTAAATGGAAACAAGGACTCAAATTTGCGGTCCCCTGGTGGTTTAATTTTGACCCACCCCCATTTGTAGTTGATTTGCACTGAGGCAATTCCTTCGCTATGCAGGCCACTTGCAGGGTGTGGCACGTTGCTTTTCTGCCGCAGTGCTCGTTGCATTGCTTGGCGTGCTTGCAGCGTCCGGCGAAACGTACAGATGTCAACACGTGGTTTGTCAGATTGTGTTGGGGTGGCAGTGAGTGAGCTGTTTCTTGCAGAGAATACACTTGTACTCTATCGTTGGCACTGTCATGAGACCTGTTCTGCGTGGAGCCTTTAGCTTCCTGCGCAGGATATGCGGTTTGATCGTCAGCCTAGCCGCTGGCTGGCTGCACAAAGGGTAGCGAGCATGTGAGTGGTCATGTCTGAGTTGAATTTTGCCTGAGGCAACTCACTTGCCATCCAGGACGCTGTTTGACCTGCCCTTGTGGTTGCAAGCGTGGCGGGCAGTGAGTCTGCGCAACTTTCGGTTTCAAATGTGAGGCCCTTGTTATGGTAGCGGTAAGGGAACGGAATTACACAGTAGCTGGGTGACCAAGACTCTCACTTAGACGACGTGCGTTCCGAATCCAAAAGGCCAATCGCAAAGCCAGCTGAGTGAGGGCCTATTCGAGGCAGGGATAAAACTCTCAACCCATCATGGCATGATTGTCGTTTTGCATGTGCCGCCCATGCACCACACATGGCTGTGGGTCAACATTAAACCGCCAGGGGACCGCAGGTTTTAGTCCATTTTGGGTACCTATTTTTGACCCACAGCCACATGTTCACCCGGTCTTGAGAGTGGTGTTTTTCTTTGTAGGACAACCGCGATCTGGTGGCGGTGGTGGAGCGGAACTTGTCGGAGCTCGATCTGGAGCCCAGGAGCTCGGGCCTTGGAGAGGCAGAGAGGCCTCCTTTGGCCCACGAGAGGGCGGAGTGGCGTTCACAGTGGTTGCTGCTGCTTGGCTGTGACTTGTCCTTGTGCGTTGCCCATGGGTCAAGAACCTTTGCTTAGTTCTCGGAAAAAGCTTTTGGCTTTGAAAGCGTCCAAAGTCTGCCATGTGCAGGTCTGAGGACGGTACCGGAAAGTCTGCTGATCGTCTTCGTTTTTGGATTGTTTGTTGAGTAGCATTTTCCACACGTAACATTTTGCACACGGGCTTTGAGGTTTAGCTGGGGCAGTCTGAGTGCCATCGTCCTTTCAGGCCGTCGGACAATGAGCTCGAAGGAGCTGGTGCAGGCCAGGTGCCCGCCACAGGTTTGGGATCGGCTGCTTGATGAGGTTGTGACTTGAGTTTTTGGGTCGTGCAAGTCTACCCCTTGCATCCATGCATCCTTTGGGCCCATGGCTTGAACAGAAGCGCAGGAATTTGAAACTGAGGCTGAGCTAAAAGCCGCGGCTGTTGCCTGAGCACGTATCCAAAACATTTCTCGCATTGTCAGGTCGTTGTTTAGGGTTTGCGCATCCAATCCATTCGTGCAACCCCCCTTACATGTCCCTTATGAAATCGGTGAGTTTGACGTCCGTGCAACTAATCCTTTCTTTGCTGGAGAACACGGTGTCACGCCTCAGGTCGGGTGCCCTCAGAATCTAGAAAACTCATGTTGCTGCCATCATATGCCATCATTGTGTAGAGGCTGCATGTCTCATGTTTTCTCTGAGTAGTATTGCATGTTGAGAAGTTGGGAATGGTGTCACTTTTTAGGGGGTAGGCTTGGCTGAAGCCAACGCGCATGGGGCTTGCATGGGTTGCTCAAGAGCCAACGCGCCCACAAACTGCAAAGTGGCTTCTGGAGGCTAGGCCAACTCCAATGACATGGGTCCCTAGCTTCAAGTTGCATTTGGGGTCTCGCCCGATTTTGCAGCCGCCTCGTACATCCTTCCACCTTGTGGGCTCTTTGGCCGATCCCCAATTCTATGCTACGAAAAAGGCTTATTGCGGTGCACAGCGGGAAGCTTTTACGAACACACACCAACGTTGAGTAATTATGACAATTCATTCCCCTTTTTGTAGCGATGCCACAAAGGGAAAAGCGTAGCTCGCTGAACTCCCTTGCTGTGGGATTGAGTCAGGACCTGAAAAATGGCTGTGGGTCAAAAATAGGTAATTACTAATTACCCAAAATTGAACCCTGGTAAGTGGACACATGGACTAAAAGCCTGTGGTCCCCTGGTGGTTTAATTTTGACCCATACCCAAATGGTGTGAGAAGTCCCAGGAAAGGCCCTGGGCTGAGGCACGGAGCCGCGCGAGCAGCCGAGACTCGCGGCGACGGTCGCCGGGCTCCAGCCGCTCCTCCTCCAAGAGCAGCGTCCACAACTCCCGGCCTTCCTCGCGGAAGGGCTCCAAGACCCGCAACTTCTCCAAGGCCGGGGAGGTGGGTGTTTGTTTTGGTCTTTGTCTTTGTTTTTGTTGTTTTTGTCCTTTTTTGCCGAGGAAGGGAAATCAAGACCCAAAAGGGGACAAACTCTGCAGATTCCCCTTGTCAGTGGTACTCAGTATGGGAGAGGGTTCCCCGGAAGCGTGGGATACATAAAGCAACTGGCTGGCTACTCGCGGAGTGGTCAGCAGGCATAGTTTCAACCAACTTGTGGGCATGCAATGCCGACGTCTCAACTTCGGACGACTAACTCGCCGCAGGCCCCAAGTATGAAGGTCAGGGATGCAGATGAGGGAGTAATTGCAAAAAAAAGTACCAGGGCAAGTAGTATGCAGAAAGAGGAAAGCAGTGCTTCAGGAGAGTAGTCTTCCAAAGTCCCCACCGACAAGCTTGGCAGTAATTCGGACTTCGGGCTGTTTTGGTGCACTGAGTCACTGGCTGCATTCGCATGTGTCTCGGATTTTTGGTTTGGCGCCTGGCGGTAGTTTCGCCCTGTTTCAGCCTGCCGGCAAAAAGTGCATTGCCGTCAATGTGGAGGTTGTTGCTGGCTTTCCTTGCGCGAACTCGCGCTCTGAAAAGCGCTGTCTCTCTGTCCCTCTGTCTCTTTGTCTCTCTGCGTCGTTCCATCCAAACAGGTCCTGTGGGGCAGAGGTGTGAGGACAGGTGGAAGGCGACATAATCACGAAAGCTAGCTTTAGCTAGCTGAAGTTTCTCCTTGCGTAAGCAAGGTAAGGGGCTCAACTGCCGAAAGATTGATTTTTTCAATTATTTGAGCCGAAAAGATTGAAAAACATCAATTATTTAGACCCCCCCCCGTCTCAGGCTCGATTCCTCCTTGGTCCACCCCTCCCCCCGGGCAGTGGCTCAGTGTTTCAGCAGTCTCGGTTTGCCCGTTTTGGACTTGGTGCTACGAACTTTTACATGTTCCACCGATGCAGCTTGTTCATTTGAGACCTCAGTCTTCTCAGTAAACCACCTCGCAAGAATCTTTGCACACGCAGCATGCAGAACCCAGAGGTGCTTTAAGACAGCTTCTGACGCCTCTCGTTGTTTTCATTTTTCACGGTCTGCCACGCCACCATGTGCGTTTGCGTGTCGCATCCTACGAATCTTGCCGGGCCTCTCGTTGTACACAAGCTACCTATGAATCCACTCTGTCACCGACCCATCTCATGCAACAACTGCTAGCTTTCGTTCACCCGCTCCTCAAGTTTTGGTGAGACATTGGCCCAAATGGCTCCGGGCTGCGAGGCCTCCAACGCTAGCCATGCTAGCCGAAGCACCGAGGCTGAGAGGGAAGTGAAGGCGGGAGATGCACGCAAACTCGAGCGCCACCTGTGAACAACAAGCATATTGTCGTTTGTCTCCATCCTTGCAGCTCTATGCCTTTGAGCGTGGCCATCAATTGTTGCCATGAAGGCCATGTTCCAGTCCTGGCCGCTGTTGGCAACTTGAAACTCGCCCGCATACCCGCGGCATGGGCCGTGTCTCCCCAAGATGACAAGCCATTCCGCATGCCAAAGCCCCCAGAAACCAAATGGCCATGGGTCAAAATCCCGTACCCCCAGTGAACATGCCAATCCCCTCTATAAAATCGGTTCTAAAATGTGTGGTGAATTCCCCTACCAACCAAAATGGGATCCAAAACAGTTTTGGCAACCACGGCCAAATTTCGACCCAGCCGCCCATAGGAGAAGACGGAGCGAGACCGGAAGCTCTCCTCCGGCGCGGCGCTGGGCTTGGACCTGGCCATCTTCGAGCATCGCAAGTCCCGCTCCGAGAAGGACTCCGGACGGCCCAAGTGGGCCGTGGGTCAACACCAATGGGATCCCATTTTGGTTGGTAGGTGCACCACCCATTTTAGAACCTATTCTAGTGGGGATTGGGATGTTCGCTGGGGGATAACCGGGGTTTTGACCCATAGCCAAGTGGTTGATTGATACATCTTCGTTGCTGGTGGCTTGGATCTTTGGGGAAATCACTTGGGTTTTCCATTGGGTTGCGAATGGGTTGCTAATTGTTACATTTGGAGGGAAAACATTTGGGCGTTCCATGTCACCCACAGAAAGTGTTCAGCTTTTTGCAGAGGGGTCAACAGCAACCAAGATATGATAGTGATATTATGAATTATTCTGAGGTAGGATGAACTCTGTGACTTTTACGACGTTGGTAGTTAGATGCAGTGTGATTCAGCCCGCGAGAGATGCTGGAGCGGCCAGGCCAAAATCTGCCGCCACCTGGGTAAACATGGGCATGGATGAAGCCTTAGGTTGGGGCAAGCATTTCCTCGGAAGCCATGAGATTCAGGGGCGGACACCCAAAGATGCGTTCTGGCCTCTGCACCTCCCCTGAAGGTCTGATGTAGGTCGATATATTTCTGCCTCCTATCACTTTCACTCGTCAACTTCGTAGGAGCAGACTCCGAGGGAGCAGTCCCGGCGCGTGTCCAGCGTCTCCGAGTTTTCGGCGTCCAGCAAGAAGAGCACACTCCGCAGCGAGGGCGGCGAGGCGCAGGGAAAGGTGGGCAAATGGGTGGGAGGTGTCCACTGTTTGCTTGTGCAATTGTTGTGTTTGGATCGTATAATGTGAGTAGGTCTTTGTTTGCAGCTTCAGAACATGCTGTACATGTAGGTTAATGCATTTGCTTATTTGTTTGCTTATGTGTTTGCTGGCCTTGAAGAGGCGGCAAGGGGCTGACGGCCCTGTGTCCCCATCAGAATCTAGAAATTTCGGGCGGTTCAGTTGGGGGTCCACGGCTGCATCACTGAAAACGCAGCTTCGATTCCCACCCATTGAACATTGTTCGGTTCGTGGGTTGCCGTTTGTTGAGACTTGGCATTTTCACCTTCCTTGCTTGCCCAGCTGGACTGGTTTGTCACCACCTGCCAGTGCATCGTACGCAGGTTTTTCCACCTAGTATCACCTGGTTAGATTTGCCAACTCGACCACAGACGTTGTGCAGCGTGAGGTTGGGGATATTCTTACTGAAGAAGATGTGTGTAGAGCAGGCTGGTGAAAAGATAGACCCTGTTTCGCCAACCTTCCGCCTTCTCTCACGTTCCTTAGCATCATTGTATAGAACGCAATTGCTTGAAGATGCCGGCGATCCACGTCCATCCCCCGCCATCCGATCATCCGATCCTCCCGATCATCCCGCGCGGCGCGACGTCAGGAGACGCCCCGAGCGGTGCCCAAGGCCAAGCCCGAAACGCCGGCCGCCACCTTCAGGGAGCTGATGAAAGCCAAAGCTCGGGAGGCTTACCAAAAGAGGCGCGACAGATCATGGAGTTGTTCCTGGGATTTGTCAAAAATGGTTAGGCAGCTGTCTGGGTCTTGAAAGAAAAGCCGGAGAGGAGGCGTTGTCATTTGGAGCGTTCTGCTTGACGCCGTAGGGATTCAAAGCTTCAGATCTGGGCGATCCAGGAGGAAGCTGACGTCCACCAATCTGGAGCCAGACTTGAAGGATCCTGTATTTTTGCCTGCCCAGCATTTGTCAGCAGCTTATGGGTGAGGGGGGGTGAGGGCGCAGGGTCGCCAGTCACACGAGCTGCTTCTTTCTGCTCCTCTTTTTTTCACAGAGCCTTGAAGATGAGAAACCCTTGATGCGTGCGGACAGCTCGAGGCTACCCAAGTCTGTATCTGCTTTGGATGTGCCCACCGCCATCGACTTCTTCGACCACTACGACAAGGACAGACTTCACCGAAGGTTTGGCCCTGTTAGCTACGCAGGGCTAGAATGCAGCAGTGCCCAAATTAAGCAGCAAGCCCTCACAACGACACTGAGCCAAAGGCTGTCTGCTCGAGTTGCCCCTTTTGTGTGAAAAACCAGCAAGCTCTCAAACTGTCTTCGGCGAGCGAGGTGCGCGCCCACGGAAATTCAGGCGCACGCGCCGCTTGGGGGGAGGGAGGTGAAGCGCAGATGCTGCTGCCTCAGTGTTGATAAGCAAAAAACACTGGCAAAAAGCTGCCAGTGTGCAAGAGCAGTTTCTTTTTCGACCCGCTCATTTTCATGGAATGTTTGTGTCATTAACTTGATGATGTTTTTGAACAACTCTCTTCGTCCTCCCAACGTTAAAACCCCCGTTCAGATTTCTACGAAAAGTCTTGGCTTGCTCCGGCGCGGAGGCTTGCTGGACCGCAAAGCCCTCGCGGAGATGCTCTATGCCATTGGTCAGGGCAAGGATGCCATGTCCACGGAGTGGAGCGATGCCATCTTCAAGGAGTTGGCCGCTAAGCCGCAAAGCGGCGGTGTGTAGCCAAAGGAAAGAGGAACCTCTACTTTGGCCGTGGTTGTCAAAACCAATGCGATCCCATTTTGGTTGGTAGGTGAATTCACCACCCATTTTAGAACCTATTTTAGTGGGGATTGGGATGTTCACTAGGGGTATAGGATTTTGACCCATGGCCATTTTGCCACGGGTTTTGGCAGGAGCTGGAATCAAAATTGTGGAATGGTGCAGCCGAAGGCTTTTGATCACTTGTGGCGCGAATTGCCGGATCTCGACACGCATCCCCGTCAAGGGGCCCATGGTGGTTTGAGGCAGACGGTGTTTGCCATTGTTTTGAGGTCCTTCCTTGCTTGTGGTGGGCAGGGTTGTTCTAAGGGGGTGTGGTGCGACTTCCCTTTCTCAAACTCACCGTTTGCCTCTCTGATGCCAGCTTCCCCGAACTGCCCAAGGACTTTCAACATTGCGGCCAGCTGGACAAGGAACAATTTCTTGGCTGCTTGGGTTGGCAGTTGTATAGAAGGATGGAGATTGCTTCGTGCACACAATGCAGTTGACCAGGTATTCTTGAAACCTACCTGAAAGCTTTCTTCGGGTGCTACTATAGTTATAGGTGCACGGAGGTGCTGTGGCTCCGTTTGCCAAGGCTGGGCGTTCAGCTGCCGCAACAATTACCACAGCGACGTGCGCCGGCGCTTCCATGCAGTGGTGGATGATGAGCAACTGCATGAGTTTCTCTTGATGCATCCAGCCCTCAGGCCTTGCTTTGGGGCCCCAAGCCCCGGCCAACTTTCACAACCAGTCCTGAGGCATATGGACAGTGAATTGGGACAGAACAATACTAAAGCCCACGCATACTGAACGTCGATTCCACCACGGATCGATGCTGAGACTTCGCCGCTGAGGCTGGTACGGCAGGGGATGGCAAGCGGGAGCGCAGCCCGGCACAAGCACCGCAATGGCGAGGCATGGCGAGGCACAGCGAGGCTTTTGTGCCACTGACTGGTTATCCTCCCTTTCCTTTCGTATTACCGTTCATGTTTGTCCCATGAAAGGCCACGAACAACGAGAAAACTGTGTTATTACAACGCTGGTGTGTTCCACTTGTTGTCGTCTCTGTTTGGTGGCTGAAGGCGTCAACATATAATATGCATTTACGTGTACATGAAATGCATACACATGTATTTAGCTAGCACATAAGTACATATTATCAGGGGTTAGAAGGAACTTCCGTGGTATGGCGACTGCTTGGAAGCTAGCGCTCTGATAGAAGGCGAGGGAAGAGTTCGCCTGGTTGCGACTCCTGGCCGCAGCGAGCGGAGCATCGGAGCGGGCCGGGCCCATTGGCACGGACGTGCGCGCTTTTCGCAACACAAGTTTGCGTGGCAGGCGCAGGGCTTTCGCAAGCCGGGCGCAGGCGCAGCACTGTTGCAAGTTCATGGATAGATAAGTAGATAGATAAATACTTGATTGCAATTTGGTTGGTTAGGCTGGATGGGATTGGAGCAGACAAGTTAGGTTCATTAGATAGATAGATAGAAAATTAGATATGAAAAGATAGATGGATTGACAGAGAGATGGATAGACCATTGGCTGGAGTAGGTTAGGTTGAATAGACAGGTAGATTGATAGGTAGGCAGGTAGGCAGGTAGATCATAGAAAATAGACAGGCAGAAAGGACAAGAGGTTAACTGTGGAAAGCAGGTTGGATAGCTAGTTGCCTAGCTAGACAAATAGACACATAGATCGACAGACAAACGGATAGGTCGATAGATGCATAGAAGGGTGGATAGGTAGATGGAAAGATAGAAAGAAGACGAAACAGAGAAAGAGAGAGAGAGAGAGAAAGAGAAAGACGAATAGGAGGAGACAAAGAAGAGAAAGCAAAAGAGAAAGAAACAAAACAGTAAGGACTAGACTCAGAAGAAGAAAGAAAAACAAAGAGAGAGACGTTAAAATCGGTGGTTACTTTGCTTACAAGTGCAAGTGCTGTAGTGTTCAAACAAACAGTCAACCAATGTAGTCTGCAGCTGCCAACCTTTTGACTCATGCGGAGTAGTAAGCTCAAGGCCTGCGGTAGTGAACATACATGCAACAAGAGTGCAAAGTGAAGCATGTAGTTTGACACGGCCCCTCAGTTAAAAGGTCTTTGTAGTACCTTTTCAACTGAAGTGCAAAACATGGATTGACAGTAGTGATGAAAACCATTGTTGTTCATCAATTCTACTGTATTGGCAAAAGTAGTGACCTGCGCTCAGTAGTTCACGCTGTTCAGGTTCCAGCTCGATGTAGGGCGCTGGACGGAAGTAGTGAAGGCAGGCACTCGTTGTAGTAGAGCAGGAGCTCAAAAATGTAGTCCCCATTTCTGGGTGCGGTAGGCTTGGACCATCTGTAGTCGACTGTCCAAGGTCGCGTAGTAGTTGGTGGTGAAAAAGGTTGTCATGTAGTTTGGAGCTCCCCGTAGTCGCTCATCATCAATCTCGGGACACGACATGTGTTGGTCGTAGTCCCGTAGAAAGCGGTGTAGTAGTGCTTTGTGGTGTTGCGTGAGGTTGGTCATTGTGAGTAGTGTGAATCCGTTGTATTGGATGCTTTTGCAGAGGATTGTAGTGATTGCTTTGTGCTGGAAGTCGTGTAGTTGGTCTCGGTTGTAAAGGTAATGGAGTAGTTCAGGTAGAAGTAGTGGCATGTGGTAATTCCAAACGTAGTTGTTCCTGAGGCTGTAGTTGTCAGTGAAGGTGGTCATGTTGTAGTTCACCTTGAAGATGGTCTGTGGCAGTGTTGTAGTCGGGAGGTAGTAGTTGTGTTGTACCGACATCATGTAGGAGATGTAGTCCCTTGTGAAGTGTAGAAATTGTCCTGAAGTGAGGTACCTCAGGAGTAGTGGTTGTTCAATCTGGAGTTGGATGATGACGTAGTTGGTGTTGTCGCCAGTTGTAGTGTGGAGTGAAGTTGTGTGGTAGTAGTGGACGTTGGCTGCTTCAGGTAGTGAAATGCTGAGCAGTGTGGAATTGTAGTGTGGCATCCGAAGATCTCCAGGGATGCAGTGAATGGGTCGTGTGTAGTCCAGTTGTGCCAGTGGAGTAGCTTGTTGTTGTGAGAGTAGTTGATACTCTTCAAGTGTAAATGCAGTGAAAAATTGAGTGTAGGGAATGTTGTCGGGCAGTGGTGGTGCAGTGGTTGTCTGGTGCTCAGTGATGTGTAGTTGGTCCATCACTGTGGTCGGGTTGTAGTAGACGGTGTTGCCGGGTGTAGAATGGTTGAAGTGGTAGTTGGAGTCGTTGTAGGTTTGAGGTGGTGGAGTTCCATGGTCACTGGAGTCTGTAGTGACCGCCACCTCAGGTGTAGTCGCCCTGTCGGGCGTAGTGGCGTCTCCCATCGTAGCATCTGCAGTAGATGGAGCGGCCATGGCTGCAGTGGAATGCAAAATGTAGTGAAACGGGGCAAAACAAATGAGCCTAAGTAGTTGCTACCAGGCAGTCGGCGAATGCAGACATGTAAAACAAACAACTGTAGTGTTGACTCAAGCCGCCAAAAGTGCAAGTGAAAGTACATGTAGTTACTGTTACTTACATACCAAAAGTGTCGTGTTACATGTAGCTACTTACATACATGAAATGTCCAAAGTCGTTGTTGTTGTTGTGAAACTGCTGTGCTGGTCGTTCGTAGTGCTAAATGCGTATTCCAATGCTCTGGATGAGCCTGTGTAGTGTTTCTTTGCTGATGTATTTGGTAAACAAATCTGCGCTGTTGTGGAGTGTGTTGATCTTAAGGATTCTGATGATGTCGCGCTTGATGAGGTCTTGTGTGTAGAGGAATTTGAGGTCGATGTGTTTTGCTCGTTTGCTAGTGCCTTGTCGTGTAGCAATGCTCTTGCCTGCTGTGGAGTCTTTGTGGATGCGTAGGTTTAGCTTGCTGCAAATGTTGGTTTCAAGTAGGAAGTTTCTGAGGTGTAGTCCCTCATTAACTCCTGTGCAAATGGCGTAGAGTTCAGACTCTGCTGAGCTAAGTGCTATTGTAGCTTGTGTTCTGCTGCCAAATGCAACTGTTGTTCCTAGAAAGATGATGTTGAAACCTGAAGTTGATTTCCTGGTAGTAGGGCATCCTGCCCAGTCGGCATCGACATGAACGTCGAGATCCAGGATGTTGTTGGTGTTTGCTCTGAGTGTTGTTGTTGGTTCTATGGTGAATTTGTAGTGCTTGGTGCCGTGCAAGTAGCGTAGTAGATGTTTGACTCTCTTTTGTGAAAGTTCTGTAGGTGCTGTGAGGTCTCGTGCTAGTTGTTTTGTGGAGTATGCAATGGCTGGTCGTGTGTATGCTAACCATTGAAGTTTGCCAACAATTCTTCTGTACCTTTTGTGTTGTTCGTGGTCAAGTAGTGCTTCATCTTCTATTGTTGGTTTGTAGTGTGCAATTCCTGGAGTGTTTACTGAGTTGCAGTTGTTCATTCCAGACTCCTCGATCATGTTGTCGATGTAGGAGTCCTTTAGTCCAAGATTGCAGTAGTTGCCGAAGTGGTCGATGTTTCTTCCAAGAAATTGTTGTGGTTTGCCAGGTTCGAGGTAGCCGATGTGCTTGAGTAGTACCTGCTTCTGGACGGCCTCGAAAGTGGAGTCGACTGCGGTCTTGTCTCCAAGTACTAGTAGATCGTCCACGTAGACCATGATGTAGCAGTCGCGAGTCGCATTGGTGTAGACGTTAGGTTCTGACTTTAGTCTTACAAAGCTGAGCTTTTGTAGCACTTCAGCCAGGTAGTCCTGCCATGCTTTCGGTGAACTGCGTAGTCCATACATGGCTTTCTTTAGTCGCCAGATTTTGTCCTGTTGTGGACAAAGTTCTTTAGGTGGCCAAAGGTAGACGTCACGTTGTTTACCGTCGTGGTCTTTTGCGATGGGTGCGTGTAGAAATGCTGTAGAGACGTCACCTAGTCGCGCGATCCAGTTTGGTCGTGACATTTGTAGTGCGAGAAGTGTCCGGAGTGTCGTGAACATTGGTGTAGAGGCGTAGACGGAGTCTTCGTCCTCGATCTT